GTTACATTGGTGTGTGTGCTATTGTTAATGTTTTATTAGGTAACAAACCCACTGAACCACCTCATTCGCAGTTATTGGACAGACATTGTGTATCGCCTTGCGTTGTTGTGTAAATAACATGTGTATAACAATAAAGGTTTAATTACTGAAGTTTGAGATACCTCACAAACGCTTCATCGTTCTTGCGCACTCTCGCGAACGCCCATCATATCCTTGGGCTGTGAGCCGTTACAACCATTAGTATACAACCAGTATATAAGACATCTAGAGAACAACGTTTTCGATATGGATCGAACTCAGTGAGTCGACACACCCGCATTCACTGATGCAGCAGCGAAAATGGACTTAGTGCTTACAGTAGCTCATGGAAGCAAACCAGTGAGCAAGTTAATGTTTTTTCTTTACATACAAACTAGTCCAGTAGATATGAGTGTGACTGCCACAGAAGCAGCCTTGTAAAGCTTAACGATGTCGCAGTGTGCACTGCAGAAAAGCATTCATTTCTAGGTAGCTAGCCGTAGAACTGGAGTGTTATCTTTAGCGTACGTGACACAGCGTTCCTCAAGCATCACTTTTCAATACTAGTCTAGGGAGAATTCTAAGGTCTTAGAAGGTGGCACGAGTGACCATCTGTTGCTTGTCCTCCTGAAGGCATTCTCTGTTCTCTCATAAGTTCTCTATGTCGTTCCTTTTCTCGTGCTCAAGGCAAGGGCTAAGTTGCTCCGCATCTTTATTTTTGATCGAGGTATTTAAAATGCTTGGGGATTATTCAATAATGCGTTTATATGGACGACGGCAATGGAATTTTCACAAAGCTTGACCGCTATTCGTTTAATGTTCTCAAAAAATTGCGGGTGTTCACCCTATGTGTTCACCATATTGGGTACCGCTTCCTTTCACCTTGAGAGTTCCTTCCACGCCTTCTTTGTAGGACTTTGCAAGCTCACACACAAGAGAGCAGTTACTTCTGTTTCGTATAACTGCGGTATAACTATTATCAGCTTAGCAGTTTCCTGAGATAGATATATTGTCATGATGATATTGGATGGTACAACCACTACTTTTCCTCGATGTTGTAGATGACCTTGCCTTCTCAAAAGTCTGCCAAAAAGCAACAATTACACCTAATAGAATTTCCCGGATTTCTTTTTTCCTGAAACTTGTGACTTTATTCCTTTTCCCAAGGAAGGGAAATCTTATGGAAAAAGGCAACAGTGCGATCCGTACGTAGAACTGCGTAAAAGTCGTCGGCTAAGTAAAATTTCTGATTGGTGCTAAAGTGGTTATTGTAATGAATATCTTTGAGTATTTATTGCTAGAATCACAAAGAAAGTAAGGGACCTCATCATTGTTTCATTTCTGTCGCCCATATCGTACCAATCCTCCCAATGGTTTAACACCTCACCCTGGCTAGGTGTTCCTGGGTATCGGACTGCGATGTACAGCGGGGGATTCGTCCCTTGGTAGGGTCTCCCAAGCTGGAAATGAGTCCGGGGTTTCTATCAGGAAGCCTAGCTAAGTAAACCAATGCCAGGATCCACCACCGTCATGGTATAAAAGTCGCATGGTGGTAAATGTCCCTCTAATCCACAAGTGCCTGTCGTGGTGAGGACCTGGGGTAGACTTTGGGCAGGGTGACCTCGGGACTCCAGGGAACCATAATGGCTTACCCAGCAAATCTCCAAAAAATGGAGATTATGCTGGCGCCCGCGCAACCAGTGATGACGGGCCAAACAAGTATCAAGTGAGTAAGTATATCGTACCAATACCCACGTCAGCAAAGAATATTTAGCTTGAGGACCTGAAATCGCAAAATAAGGCATATTAAGACTTGGTTGGACTTAGTAATCTCACAGCTTACATAATTGATCATCGGAAACACCCTTTGAAGGCCAAGTTGTGTTAAGTAAGAGGTTCGAGTACAATGTCATTGGATTGTCCAACAGAAGACTCCCTACTAAACACTTTATTATAACGAAGGAGAGTTGCCCTTCAGAAAAACCCAACAGCACAGAGTTTCACAGGCTCGTTGCGCTCGCCAATATGAAATGGGATGTGATCTAAGAGTTACATGAAGGAAACATCTATCCTAGGCTAATATTTGTGCAAACTTTCACTCTCAGTCGTCATATGAGCCAAATGTATATTCGATATTTCAGGGAACTTGGTACTTGAACTGTCCGTTTTTACTGCTTGTGCGGGCTCCAGCATAATCACCAGATTTTGCTGGTTAAGTCATTGTGGTTCCCTGGAATCCCGAGGGCAGTCTAGCCAAAGTCTGCCCTAGGTCGCCACCACGACAGGTAGTCGCAGCCCTTGTGGAGATTTGCCACCATCCGACTCTGATACCAGAACGGTGGTGGGTCCTGGTATTGGCTTTGTACTAGCTAGGCTCCCTGATGGAAACGCCGGACTCCTCAGCTTGGGAGACTGCCGGGGGATGAATCAACCGCTGTATATCGCAGTCCGACACCTAGGAACACCTCCCAGCCACGATTCGGCGGTAAACCGTTGGGAGGATTTCAGGGAACAAGAAAATGAAATAGAAATACAGTCCCTTATCTCTAGTAATATTCTGAACATCTTCTACTTCATAATCGCCCACAATTTCTTAGTGTGGTACAGCTAGTTTCGATTATGACGACCACTATTGCAATCGAAATGTAATGATCTTCCTAACGGTCTACCGCCTCATCGTGGCTGGGAGGTATTCCTAGGTGTCGGGCTGCGACGTACAGCGAGAGCATTCGTGCATCCCAGCAGGGCCTCCTAAACTGAGAGAAGAAGTCCGACGATTCTATCTGGAAGCCCAGCTTAGAGCAAACCAATATCAGGGTCTACCACTGTTGTGTCACCAAACTATTCGCATGGTGGCAAAACTCTGATCCACAAGGTCGGCGATTGCCTGTGGTGGTGACGATCTGGAGGAGACTTTGGCTAAACTGACATTGGGTGTCCAGGGAACTGTAATGGCTAATGTAGCAAAACTCCGAAAAAGTGGGATTGTGCTGGAACCCGCACAACCCGTGAGGAAGGGCCATCAAAGCGTCCAAGTAAGATGTAGCTCAAATATGCAAACATTTCTTTCTCTATTTCTCATTGTTCATATGGCTTATGAGGATTTAAACTGAAAGATAAATGCTACCGTTTCAAGATCGCTGTCGCTGAACTGTAGTTCTTGTGTGTAAGAATCACACATCGCTGCTTTCCACCTGTTCCGCTCGAGAATGGTAGCAGCAGGGGATCATCCATCCCTATGTTAACGTCGTCATATGCATTGTGAAGATCATCGTGCCAAGGTGGCAAATCCCTTGGGACCACACAGGAGGCTGACATTTCAGGATCATCCTTAGGCGAGCAAATAACAAATATCTGAAAGTGAATGGGCATCTTACATGAACTTATATAATTAATACATCCTATACAATTAATAGTTTACATATAAAAGATAAAAAATAAAGCTCTCGGCGTTGATCAATTCCTGAAGTATGCGCCTGCGTTCAACTTCATATCGCGCCTATCGTCAGAGGTGACTGAATGCATATCTGCCCTATACAGTGACTCGCGGTAACCTATCGGTGTATCGATTACTACTGCTATCCTCCCAGACCGGTCAGCAACCAAGTTTCCGACCCTGGAGGATGGTAGACTTGCGGAGGCTGAGGCGCGGGATCCAACCCATGTGCACTGCAGTAAACTTCTAACCACTGCCCTACACGCGCCCATTAGTCTGCATTTATCCTTGTTAATCGTCTTATGAGTGGAAGCTACATTTCTTGAGGAGAAATTTTGCTCCATCCATGTGATTGAAATGAAAACGCTGTATAAAGTAAGGAGCCGTTTTTCAACAAAACTTAGGAAAAAATAATAAAAGAACAATTGTATTGTTAAGTACTAGATAGTTCAAATAAGTTCTCATCTGCACATAATACAAAACAAAGGTTCAATCAGTTCCTTAAGATTTTCATAGGATCCTAAGTTCGAGAAAACTAGGAAAGGGTATTTTCGAAAAATGATCTTTCCCTCGTTATCCACGTAAAACTAACAGCCTACAATCTTAACCATTTTATTTACTGCCTATTCTTTTTAACGGCAGGGAATGTTGTGAAATATAACTTCTATGATGCTGAGATATCTGCAAAACGGCAAAAAGATCGATAGAACTAGCTGAGAGACAGGCGAAATGAAGGACCCGCATGGTGTGATGGTGAACGCGTTACTTTTCGAAAACGACAATAGCGCGTTCGTTCCCCACCGCAGACACCTGCGATCCGGAGTTTTGCAAATATCTCAGCATTATAGCAGTTAACAGCCTGCATATACTACTTCGATACTCGGATGATCCGTCTTCATTGCTTTTGCTGGGCCCAGCATAATTTTTAATTTTTTGGAGTTTTGCGGGTTTAGCCAATGTGGTTTCCTGCAGTCCCAAAGCCAACCGAGCCAAAGTCTACTCCAGGTTGTCACCACCACAAGTAGTCGCCATCCTTGTGGATCACAGGAAGATTTGCCACCACGCCACTAGTTTCATACCAAGATGGTGGCGGATCCTGGTTTTGGTTTACTCCTAGCTGGGCTTCAAGATGGAAACATCGGAATCATTCTCAGCTTGGGAGGCCTTGCTGAGGAGATGAACCCTCTCCACTTTACATGGCAACCCGACAACCAGGCGCACCTCTCAGCCACAATGAGGCGGTAACTGTTGGGAGCAACAACCTACATATAACTTGGTATTATATGTAATTTTGTTTAAAAGTGCTATCGAACCGTCACCTTCTTCAGATCTAGTTTTCCAAAGACTTTTGTGAAACTTTCTGGACAACACACCACGGCCGCTGCGCCACTTATTCGCGCATAGTATCGTATCTCTTCTGGAACAACTTCTTCATGCTACCTAGGAAAGAATAGTGTCTTTGAAAAAACCAGACTACATGAAGCTGGCAATATGGAAATTGAAAGGAAAACTAGCAAGATATGGAAAAGACATAAATATAAGTGCTCTAGTGCTCAGGACCTATAGTGGAGTGATGGCCGATTCCGGACAACGGGCATCCAATCAACGCTGCACCGAGGAACACAATGGCGTACCAGGATGAGTTCGGAAGTATCACAAGGATCGAGTCTCCTACAAATCTCTATTGAATGCAGCATTAATCCCAAACGTCAGATTGGTATCTCTTTTTACGATAAATGTTGTGACTTCATCATGAACTGACCTTTCGATAAGCCCATTGAACGTATGAAAGCAGCAAATCTATGTGACAATTCATAGATTTCACGAAAGCTGACATCACCATCATCATCGGTCTAGATAATTCTCCTTCCTTGTAAGTCAAACGAAAAGGCTATCTCGTAAGTAGAAACGTGACCATATTCTTCCAATGCTGCTAGGGAAAAAAGCTCTTATTTGAGCTTGGTAAGGTGCAAAAGTACGAGTTCATTCCAATATACAGCATAGTAAGAAAGAAAAAGACCAAAGATGAGGTTGGCGCACAATATTGATGCATTCAAATTGGCTGGAGAAATCCAAACTAGAGTTACTATTGAAAACTTCTATTCGAAAAGTGGCAAGTCGGATGTTCAACTTTACAGCCGATGGTCTGTCGCAGCACTCTGACTGTAATCAATATAAAAACTTACCAAAGCTATACTGTTTCCATATCTAAGCAAATTTCCTAGAATCTGCCGATGGAAAAGAGTTTGTGGATAGTTATCCATGACAAACCGAATACGGTTTGCATTACTGGCGACAGAGACGGAAATGACACAAAAACTAGCCGCTATCATAGAGACATTATTAGTTACGATTGTCACCATTCCTTCATGTTATGTTTGGCCAGGAAAAAAAAAGCGCTCAAGCTCCTCCAAGAGAAATAGTAAGAGTTAAACCTATGTGCTGTCGACTGAACCTTCAGCTCAACTGTGCTCAATGCTGATTTGTGCTTCCCAGTTCATTCCCTTCAACGGGTGATTGTTGATGGCAGCATTAAGTAGGCAACTGGCCGAGAGAAAGGTAAAGCAAGGGTCTCAATGGTGCAGTGGGTAACTTCGTTAGCACACGGAAAGAGTAATCACGGATTCGAATCTGGCCTGTGGCGTTGCGTTTTGCAAATATCTCAGCATCATTGTGATTGTATTTCACAAATCATATTATCTCACCATGATAGGGATTTCCTGAAATACAGTACATGTGTAGTAACTCAACAGGGAAATACAGAAACAAACAGCATCGCTACCTCCAACAGGTTCCTATCTACGATTCACTTGCGTTGTAGGATGAAATACTCCCATAAAATACACCACATGTCATAAATTGCAATGTTCCAACTACAGATAATTAGTTTTATAAGATTATTCATATAAAGCTCAATGAAGCTTCGACAGTCGATGGGAACATGTAAGAACATGCCTACAGATGTGATGATGGTCCCACTGGCTGAACGATCCGCCGTGCGGGTCAGCACGAAAGCCATCAAATAAGAGAACACTAAAGGAGGAACAAAGTAGAAAGGAAAACGAACAACAAATTCGTCAAAATAAATCCTCTATGCCATGTCTTGTGGACCTTCGGAAAAAAGGAACCACTGCATTCATACAACAGATTTCATATACCATCGATGTACTCTCTGAGTGACATATTTTAGAGTATAAATGCAGTGCTTTTAAAAGTTAAATAACCGGACCATGCATCTATAAATAACGAGAAAAATGCTATAAAACAACATGACGGCAGAAATAAAGATGTGACAGTAACAAGAACAATGGCGGTTAGATGCGCACTGAACGAGAGTCTACGAAGAACAACTGTAACAGCGTTACCCGACATTTTCCTCGTTACCGACAACCTTCAGCATTGTACAGTTGACAGCTAATAACGGTCAAATATAATTTATGCGGATAAACAACGAAAAAGGACATTACTGCGCATGAACTGGACAACCATCGGACAAAACAATGCCCATTCATTCCAGCCTATACATCTAAAAATAAAAGCAAGACAATGGAGGAGACCAGATCAGAGATATTAGGGAGACGCTTATGTAAACGCCTGGCGAAGTAGTGTTAATACTTGTATGAACGATAAAGACATTAAAGGGGAGAGAATTGTCGAAAGAGTAGGATTAAAATGTGGCAAAGCAGCAACGGACACGTATTAGTATGAACTAGCGATTTCTAAGGCAAAATACAAATGAAGAAAAATTGAACACAAACAATTACAATTAAGCAACAATGGAAGTGGTTGTCCTATAAAATTTAGTCTTCCGAATCGACAAGGAGAGCGTATTTGTTATTGTTCAGTGTTTTCCCTCCCTTTGTCGTTTCCTTCTGAAAACCGATGACATGTAAACTTACAAATGAAAACATGGAATCACAAGTCACAAGTTTACATTGAATGCGTGAATAAAAAATCCGTAATGTGTAATGAGCTCCTTTTCTAATCATCACTCTGTGTTCAGACAATTTTTAAACACTTCAGAAAACAATACCTTATTGGCTTTCTTCTTCTCCTTCTTCCTTTCTTGAACAGAGGAAGTGGATGAAGTTAAAGCGGTCTGCGAATTTGTAGATGGAAGAGCTTTACCGCCATCTTTCTTAACAGGTGGCGTCGATGTTTTCTCCTCTAAATCATCCGGCTGTTCCAACCGTTCCTCAGAGCGCTTCGACTGCTGCCGAAAATTAGTGCTTAACATAGAACTAACAATGAAAATTGTATAGTACCTCTTTTCGTGTATCAGCTTCTACATCCTTGAAACCGCTCCAAGGTTCATCCTCGCCTCGTGACACTCTTTGCGTTCGCTCCTGAAGGTACCCACCACCTCCAGCTCGATTCTTCCGCAATGTTCCCGTCCTTCCACCACGCAAAGAAGCATGAGACCCATGGGGGTCCTTAAAAAAACCCTTTGATATGTAAAAAATGGAACGCTCAAGGTAAAATCTACAAATTTCAACAAACTGTTGCATCCTACCAAACAAACTCTACTAGGTTCCCCGGAAATTAATGTCTAATTTCAAGTATATTCAAAGTGAAATATCTCGGTTCAGAATAAACATTATTAATAGATGCAAAAGCTATTAGATCTACACACTTCTGCAAACGAGAGCAAGCTTGTACACAAGTTGCACAAAATTCTGGACTTTTGCAAGCGATGAAGTCGTTGAAGGAGGATCTGATGATTTCTGAAGCATCTTTCGTTGTTCAGATGCTCGAACTTGTAGTAGTTAACAAACCGGAGGTCTGCCAAGTATGTTGGATGAAGCAGAGCTTCCTAGCCCAGCTCATTCCTTTGTAGCGTTAGTTACGCTAAACGTGGTCGCACGTCCGTAGCGCAAAGTGCTGCCGATTCGTACGTTATCTATTTGCATGGTTTTCTCGACTTTCAAATCTTCGCATTCTCCGGAACAGAGACAGACAGACAGAGAAAGAGAGTGACTGCATTAGTTTTACGATGACATATAGTGGTTCGAAAAAAAACTATTGCTAAACGGAAGAAAAATGAAAGCACAAATCGGGCATTAATTCCTAACCAACCTAATATCTAAGGATTTTCAATACAAGACCTATCGGATTTTCAAACAAGTGAGCGGGAGCGTTGGAGACTCATTTACGCAGTTCAAAAAGAAAGGTAACACTTTAGCCTGTCGTAAAACGCGCAATGTTTGCAGTGCTAAACCACTGTTCCGATTTGAAAAAATTGTGCTATTAAAACATGACTAAAGTAAGGTGTATTTTTAAAAAAAACCAAACAAAGCGCGCATGAATTTGAGACTAACCATAACGCGTAAAAGTGGTCGCAAAAACATAAACAATTGATATTCCTACTTTTCGATCGGAGCGAATCGACCGTACCTCGGTCGATTGCCGCCGTTCCACTCCTTCAAGATCGGCCCCGGCCGGTTTCCTTGGAGTAATTGACGCAGCAGATGACTTTTCCAATTCGGAAAAGCTGCTACGTCGATCAGACGCTGCACCACCACGGTTGAATCCACGACCACCTCGTCCACCTCGTCCACCTCTTCCTCTGAAAATAATGACAATTACATTGCCAGTAGATTGTTTTCCCATATCACCATGAATTTCTCCACAATATAAGAACTAAGTGTTACAAACGAAAGAAAATGCCCTGTTTACATTCAGAAACTGAACCGTTATCCCTTTTGGTACGAAGCGAATCATATTATTCACACTACCACGGAAATAAATGCGGCTCTCAAACTTAAATATTTCTCCGGCCAAAGCCATCTCGTTCCCAACAAGATAAAACTTTTCTTATTCAACACCAATAAATATCTGACTTTTCGAGAGCATCGAACGTACTTCTTTCAGGTTTCCGCTAAAGCCGTAGATCAAACGTACAAGCAATCAAACGGTCCACAATCATTAGAACATAACATAATGTTGTCCTCGATACATCGCAGTCAATGGCTAATTTCACTCTTGTACAGAAATTTTAAAAACGCAAATTTAATTCCTAATTTCTTGCAGTTATGAACTCTATTCAACGGCAAGGGGCGCATGTCGCACCCTGCAAGTGGTCTGAGGCGCCCTGCTACACACATTTATGGGATTGATCCCTGCACCCGTGGTCTACTGTCTACTTGACGGATGCCACACGATCATTACGAAGTCATTCCATCCGATCTCCATGTTGGAAATTGTCCAAAAATACGAGGTTAGAGCATTGAGTTCAATCCTTCTTGAAGTACGAATTATACGACATAGAGGCGCGTGTAGCACAGTGGTTTGAAGCGCCGTGCAATACACATGATCGTTCCGTGCGCCCCAGGATCACCTAGCCTTTCCTCCCTCCGGGGTCGCTAAATTGGTCCCAGAGCTATTTCGGAGGATAGCAGCACTGGCATGATACAGTAACCGGTCACAATGAGTCATTGTAAAGACCAGATATGCATTAAATCACCTCCAACGATGTTTAAATGAGATTGAATGCACGGCGCACCCCTCAGGGATTGACCAATGCCGATAGCTTTATTATTTATCCTTTATACAACGGAAAAGTTTTGGTAGCCATCGAAAAACCAGTTTTCTTGCTAAATGATTAATGGTAAAAATTTTACAACTGATCACATAAAAAGAAAGCGATTTCGAAGCGAAAAACGATCGAGTTTGTATTTTTGAACTAACATAATTTTACTTCAAATGAAAAGCTGAAATTTAAAAAAAATAGGGATATCAACGAAGAAAGCAAATGGAAACCTATGTGGAGTGCCAGCTTCACGAATTTCATCCATCGTTGCACTTTTCTGAAGTGGCGCTGACACGTACTTAGGGTTGCAATACACGCGATGCTGAATACAAGAATATATTAAAGGTAAAAACAGTAGGCCTTTGACATTCAGTAAATTTAGCAAAACAATCCATTTTCAAGTTATTATATTTCACCGACCACTAATATGCAATCCATTCGCCTTGCGTCTACCTTAACAAAAGAGCACATACAGGTTACACTTGTAGGATAACTAGTCTTAAAAAGATATCTAAAAGCGTTGTAACGCAGCAAATGAACGAATAAGTAACAACTAATAATCAATGACCATTCTGATAGCAACACTACCAAGGAGACCTATACCGGCCAACAATGCAAGTGCTTTAAAACACTGCATATTTATTTTTGATTTTATATGATCTGTCTTCAGTCTACTGAGCGGATCCCAGCACTTCTCACATTCGATTCATTTCCTCGTACCCATTGTCCACAAGATCTTCTAACTTTTACGTGTACCTCCGATTGTTTCTGAGGATTTCCATCTCATCTTGAATGTTGTAGAATGCTGGCCGAGCAAATCTCCCTGGTGTCCTGAGATATCCGGGTTGGAGCGTTCCCAATTGGATTGTAAGAAGTTATTTTTTTACCAGACAAGTCCGGTCCTATTTCCCGACTCAGGAAGGATGAGAGGCTTGGTTGGCCCGGGGCGAAATCGAACTAGCACTATGTCCGTAATGATAGACATCATTACCATTGTGTTATCCACCCACTAATATTATATATATATATATGTATGGTACATACATACACAACATATAAAAGCAAGCATATATATAGTACATGGGCGCGTGCGGCGCAGTGGATGGAGGCACCACTGCGGCACACACGTGGAATCGATCCCCGCGCCCATGGCCCACCAAATCCTCCATCCCTCCGGGGTCGGCAAATTGGTACCAGACTTGTTTGGCATGATAGCAGCACTGGCTCGATACAACGGTAGACCACCGCGAATCAGTGCAAAGGCCAGATATGCATTCAATCACCTCCAAGGATACTTGATGAAGTCGAATGCACGGCGGATCCCCTAGGGATTGATCAACGCCAACAGCTTTATCCTTATATATAATACACATTAGCGAAATTCGAGCACGCTCACGTCCTACCATGAAGACTGCTTGCTGCTGCTCTACAACGCCAGAGGAGTTTCTTCAGACCCTAACACTCAAATACTTGGGCTGTAAGAAGCGACAATATTTGTGTACTTCTTGCAAATCATATGACATCCTAATTTCAAAGGAACGAATCCGAGACCAGAGGACGTCGCGCAAGATTATCGTGTCCAAGAAAGATAACCAAAGAGGTCTTCGCAACCATCGTCTGACATACTTGCTGGATGTACTCTACAAGGTCTTTACGAAGATTATCCTCTCGCGCATATCAAGGACATAGGATGAGGTGCAACCAGTTGAGCAGGAAGGATTTCGGCAGGAGTTTTGCCGCATAGACCACATCCAAGCCGTGTCCAGCAGGATCAATGAAGTTTGTGTGGAATATCAACTGCCCCTAGGCCTGAGTCGGCTACGAAAAATCGTTCAATACTATGGACTCCACGACCAACGACTGGACCCTTCCTATTTACGAACACCAGCAGACTGTACGGCAGCACAAATATACGGCTTTTCCATCGAACCGCACCATACTAATAGGAAAAGGGGTTCGACAAGGCGAACCCGCAATTCTGTTTACTGCAGCACTGCAGTGGATAATGAGGATACTTGACAGAGATGGTAAAGGCATACGTATTGATAGAAAATTCTTATCAATCTTCGTTTTGCGGATGACATAGTCATCTTTTCAGAGAGTATCAATGAGGCAGAGACGGTGCTCAATTAACTCAACGAAGCGAGATAAAAGGACTGGACTATACATACAATAGGACGAAGCCCGAGTTCATGAAGAACCCGTGGTGTAAAAGCCGCATCCGTCGTACTTTATAGTTCCGTGATTACACAGGCCATATCCTGACGTTCAATGACCAAGGAAGGTAAGATAAAGGAGGAACTCAAATTTTGAAATTTAACTGGCACTTGCAACGTCTAGGTGGAACGCACAGCCTATATCTTCGAAACCTATCCCATCTTCGGGAACCATGAGAATACATCAACAATGAAACATAGAAGGGCCGATCACATAGTAAGAACATATGATTAATGGACGAAAAGAAGAGTGGAGTGGACTCCAAGAGAATGCAACCGTTCTCTTGGAAAACCACCTAAACTACGGACGGAATAGTTCATGGCTAAGGTAAATCATCTACTTTCGCAGATAGCAGCGACCTCAGTATTACAGAATGGGCCTCGCAGACGTCATGCTCGAAGCAGACCACCACCATGTAGGATGACTGAGTCAGAGACAAACCAGCTGGAACTGCAGTCCGCACAACCACTGAAGATGAACTATCCAAGTATCCAGATACTAAAGCAATATATCAGATTATGTACATCGGTGTATCCAAGTAAGTTTAGCGCAAACCCAGGACATTCCTATCAAAGTAACACTACGAAAACCTCCCTCATCAAGCCACCTAACCGCTGCAGCACCAGCACCCGCAGTTCCGTTTCTTTCTGTTCGAAAATTAAAAGGACGGTCCTCAGCGGAAAATGCATGGGGAGACCAGTCGAGAAATTTACACCCTACAGAACGCATAAAACATTCCACGATTTGAAGATATATCCAGTCTACCTTAAGCTTACTCCAAGTCATCGTGTTCAGCAAAAGCATGTCTCATGAAAATTCACTCAAGAATTAGTTCCACCATTTTCTCGTTTCCACTTGTGATTCAACTTACGTATATCAATTATTTCACGACATTCAAAATCATGAATACTTTCCCAGCTTAGGACAGAAATCATGTTTTCCGCTTCTCAGGCAAAATTTTCCCCTTAAATAGGTACATCTCCCTCTCGGTCTTTCAAGGAGCTTCCTTAGTTTCAAGCAAATATGATTTAACCAAAAGGATCTGAACAACCCCACCTAGAAAACCTACTGAACAAATATTGCAAGCCTGTCAGATGTCTTAATAATTAACCAAACGAATAAAATGTACAAATTAAAATGTTTCGTCAAAACAGCAAAAAAGTTAATTGAAAAGCCAATAAAACTGGAAGAAGGGAATTTAACACCTTTGGTCCTGATCTATGTAAGGTTTCAACACCATTACTAATATTCACATCGCCAGTGTTACGCCGATCTGAATCAGAATCTAACCGTCCAGATGAGAGTGCTGCGTGTTCATCAGACTCTGGATTAGAAACCTAAAACGCGAAAATATGAGTTCTTCCTCAGAATGTAATTTTTGTTGCACACGACCAAAACTAAAAAATATTTCAGGAAAACTCGATAGTTAAGAATTAATTATGAATAAGAAAGAAAAACAAACTCCATCAACTACATCTTGGCCATGGTCGGTTTCTTTCCTAATCTGTGCTTGAACAGGCACTTTTGCATGCACTGGATCTAACGGAGGGCTTGCATCCGTTGGGTCAGCAGAATCTCGACGCATTATTCTAAAAGGAGTCCCATAAACATTCAAGATATAGACCAATGAAGGAGTTTCAACAGCGATTAAACGGTTTAATCAGTGGATTCTTCTCAGTTATAGTTTTGCACCAATTCCCATAATTCGACCGAGTACTTCGCTCCAATCTACTCCAAGTTATTCAGGCACTTATAGATTATTGCTCGCTCACTTGAGACCGATATTCAAATACAAACGGGATGTCTTTCTCAATGGACTGCTGAAACTTGATGCGAAGCAGTGACTAATTATTCAACTGCGAGTGTCGATGTTTTAAACTACTTCCAAGAAAGTAAAGGCGCATGTGGAGTCGATCTCCACGCCCATGACTCACCAAGTCTTCCATCCTTTCGGAGTCGACAAATTGCTACCAGACTTGTCTGGGAGGATAGCACCACTGGCTCGATACATCGGCAGGCCACCGCGATTCATTGTAACGGCCAGCTATGCATTCAATCACCTCCAGCGATACTTAATGAGATCGAGTGCATGGTGCATCCCTCAGGGAATGATCAATGCCGAAAACTTTATCCTTTTTTTATCCAAGAAATTGTATTTTCCAAACAAACGGAAGGATGAAAATCGAAATATTCAAGACCACGACTAAACAAGTCGAAGAATTCGACCTGTGACTGTGCTCTCGCCGACAGTCGATAACACAGTTTTCAATATAGCAGACTACACCAAAACTACCAGCAATACAGAAAAACAGTGTTATGTGGTAATTCGGTGCCGGTGAGCTAACTCCCCGACTTCTCAACGAGAACAAGTGAGCTACCATTTGGTAAAGTACCCGGTTAACGCCCCATCACCAAGTCGTTCAGGAGCATTCTCATATGCGAACACGGTACCATTGATTTGCAAATCAACACTAGACTAGCAAGATTGGCGTTCTTCCACTAATTACGAGTTCACCTGGCCATCAATTTACGGTAGCCCAACATGTGTGGACGTTCCTCGATAATGTAGTGGTAAGGTAATTGGAATGAAAAATATTATTCTGCGGAAGCCGAATACGTGCAATAACTTCTCGACGGTAAACCAATGAAAACTGGAGGCCTTCAGTAGTTTTGCGCAACCTAACTCTGGTACCTTCCCATATGGCGTCGGAGCTGCCCACTGTTGAGAGAAATGCAAGCCTCGAGAGTGAGTTTCTATTTGGGCTGGCGTAGGCGTTGCATAGTTGGAACCCGCAAAACTACTGAATCGCAGTACGTACCCATACTAGGTGACCATTTGAATTCGACGTGGCTCCATTTCATTTTTGTTCCCTCTCTTACAGTCTCACACTATTTCATATTCTTGAAGGGCCAGCTATATTCTGTAATGTTTTACAAACGTGCATGAGTACAGCGCCACTGACGGTCGTTTAAAAGAAGAAAAATTCACAAACGAATGATTTGACAACAAGCCAAACAGTACAGCAGCAAGTCGTTTAAGATTAAAAAAAACAGTTAGTCATCACTTCCATTAGCTTCACCTGTAGCTTGTCGGCACTGATACGTCATGCTGTTGCTGAAATTGTGCTGAGTTTGTATAGGACTGCTGAGAATGTTGAGTTATACCATGCGTCGACTGATAAAGACCGTACTGAAATATTCTCAAATAATACGATTGAAAGAATTTCCTCCAATGACCAACAAATAAGCTCCAGTGAATAAACTATGAATGAATATCCAAAGAAAAACGAACAGAGGGGTGGGAATGGTTCGGAACAGGTGGCCTTGAAGGAGCATGATGATACTGGTGGTGAGACGAATGGTGCGCAACATGGCCGTGGTGAGCGCCATATTGGTGCTGATGTTGATGTGATGCTGCGCCATTTGCGTGTCCAGCTGCTGCAGCCAAACGAGCTGCTTCAGCTTCTTCCTAAATTCAAAAGTGGATTCTAGAAGCGAGCAGTGAAAGCAAATCAGTTTAATACAGAACCAACTTTACACTACCGTTAAGATGAATGCCGAGTTTAGGCATTAGAGAAAAAGCTAATTTTTCTGACAAAAGAAGGTAAATTCTCCAACAATAGAAAAGTTGATTACGTTGCAGATTCTTAGGGAAGATTTCACGTTATCGTCTTATGGAGACATATATAACTTTGAAAAAGTATTTTCACTCCGTTCAAAATGAAAAGTTAGATCACCAAAGTTTCCAACGTATGTGGAGCAGCCGGAATACAAAACAACAGGAAGCGAAAAAATATGCTTAAATGGTTTCATAAGATCAGAATTTCACCGTTGTCGAACAAGAGCATGTAATTTGTAGGCAAAAGATCTGTATATTCCAATTGTTTCATTTCAACTAACAGGGTTTCCACTATTAGCTGAGGTATGCTGGCTTAAATTACAAATCGGTAATTATTTTCGTACCGTTTGATTCGAAATAGGAGATTATGTTGTCGCGAATGCTAACCCAACATATTCAAAATAAACCTTGTACTTCTGCTGCTCAAGCAGTCGCTCTCGTTCTTGCTTCGCTTCAATCTCACGCAACCTCTCCGATGTATCGACCGGCTTCGCTTCTCCAAAGATGTCTTTGTTAGTAAGTTTTTTAACCTAAAGATTTATGATTGTTTGTCGTAAAACTGTTGAACAAGTGATTAATAACATTGTAAAGATTCTCAGTCAAACCGCTACCAAAATTGTACGTTTTTTCCCTTATTTTATACGACCAGTCTTCACGTCTACCCTGCGGATCCCAGCACTTCTCACATTCGATTCATTTCCTCGCATCCATCATCCACTAAGATCGTCCAACCTTTACGTGTGGCTTCGATTTATTGCTTGAGGATTTTTCATTTCATCTTGAAAGTCGTAGAATGCTGGTCAAGTCGATTCTCCCTGAAGTCCTGGGTAACTGGACTGGAGTGTTCCCAATTGGATTGCAAAGAGCGATTTTATTCCCGGACAAGCCCGGTGCCAAGTTACCGGGCCAGGAAGGATGAGAGGCTTGCTGACCCTGGGAGGGACTGAAGCAGCACCGTGCTCGTGCTCTTTTCTGTTGCTATCTACATGTTTAGGTACAATGATAAAGGTTATTCAAAGGTGACCTTGGTTGCACTTTGTGCCCCGGATCAACCATGTCTTCTCTACACTCTGTCTCTGTCTTCTACCATACAGTAGTCAAGATTGGTAATATACTTTGCTGGGAGGACAGAAACAACGACCTAATACATTGATGAATTTCTGTAGCTTACTAAACAAGACAAATATGCATAAAAACACTTCTACGATGCTTAAAGGCGGCAAATGAATGGTGCATTTCCAAAGGACTGAACAGTGCCAAACATTTTATCTTTTATCCTTATTTACATCTTTTATAAAATAATAAGGCAATATAAGTTACATAAATCGAGGAATGTTAAACACACCCTCTGCACTGGAGCATCCACCTCTTCTGTGCTTGTGCTCCGCCGGGACGAAGTCCTTGACAGCAACACTCTTCGTCTATCGGAATCAAATGTGGTACATTCAGTGCGAGAACGACTGGAGAGAAAAACAAGATTGAGTTCAGTTGTAAATTTCGTTTATCAAGTATCCAAGAGTAACAATCAAACAGAAGTCCACCCAAATACTGACCCTATAATTAAGTGTAAGTAGTTAAAAGACCCTTCACACCGCAAGTAACTTGTGGTAGTTAATTCGTATAGCACAACTCAAGAAACAAAGTCACGGCTTTAACTTACGACATAACTGGTGGTTTATCTCTCTCATCATGGTGGTAGCTATCACTGCGTGGCAACTCCTGACTTCCATAGTAATTCCCACGCCCACCACCATAGCCGCCACGTCCTTGCATTCCACGAGATCGAGGCGGATAACCTCCACCACCATACGACGTACTTTGCTGGAAAAAAAACCAGTACTTCATTGTACACATTTACAAACAGGAAAAGAAAACTATTAGGTGGATGTAACAACATTGGACTATGACACAAAAAAACTTTGCAAAGATTTACAAGTATGTTTTCTAATATCTATTCCTTGGTTATATTGTTATTACATACCATTTTAAAGGTTATTCCTTACTTAACCATTGCCCAATTATAGATGTTTTCCCGAAACTTAGTTATAATTCTAGTCTAGCTTAAACCACGCTCTCAAAGCATGAAACTCGCATTACCCTGCTTCATAAGTTCGAACATGGATATAAACGAAAGGTGACACTCAAAATCATATTAAATCGCGGTAAAGAAAAGGACTTTCAAATCACAATACACTGGTGGCTTCCAAGACTTCGTACCAGTAATACGAGTTTTCATGACAGAGAAAGTCGTTGAAACTTATCAGCAGGTGACGACGAAGACCTGGAGCCACTTCGAGCCAATATCGACGAACCTTCCCCTCCAAGAACACCTCGAGGGATTGTAGAAAAACGTTTTAGAACTCAAGAATCAATCAACATTTGGAAGACAATTAAAAAGCTGAAAGGCTCCATCAGTGAATAACTGGAAAAGGAATGGAAGCGAGATCGTCGTCTCGAAGGTACGTTCTGCGCCTCTTCTACGCAACAAAAGCAACCAATTTCCAAATCACATGGGAATGTGTTTGGTGTATAGAACGGCTAAACACATATGTTCTATACGCCAAACTGTCGAGGATAAGGTGACCCGAACCCGTAATCCGGGTGGACGACAAGAGATGGACACAAGCCGTTAGTGAGTCGATTCATTGGGGTGTCAAACGTACTGCAGGAAGAACACCGACCCGATGGTCAGAGTTGTTTACGAAAGCTCTAGAAGAAAGATATGATGCTCGACAAGCCCCTACAGCGAGCAGAACCCACTGGGACACTCTTGCACGCGGCAGGGAAAAATGGAAGAATTACTGCCGGCAGTTCGAGTCACTCGACGATCAAGAGGACGACAGTTGATAAAGGTGAAGTAATATGTAGCAAAAACTGGATGCTATACGATAACCGGCGACTTCTAACTCAGTGATTGGAATTAGATCCCTGTGACATTCAAGGGTAAACTTCCAATCCGCATAGGAACACTCTAGCACCTTTTTCCCAGAACTACAAGGAAAATCGACTTGACAGGTATTTAACGGAATCCACGACAAAGGCAAAAATTCTCAAACGGTAGCCAAATCTACACGCAACAGGAAAGGTCCAGTCTCTTGTACGACAACGTGCAACTAGTTATTCCGCAATTAACGCGTCAAAAGTTAAAAGCTATCACTTCCTTCAAGACAATCAACAGCTCTTTACCTCCATAATTTAAGAACTGTGTCTTCTCGGAGAAAAAAAAACGATTCTGCTCTATTAATAAAACTTAAGTCGGACCTATTTATAACGGTTTAAAATCGTTTCAGTACTACGCAGAAATAGACAAATTTTTTTTGGATGCAAACAATTACGAACGCTTGACACACATTGAACTTAGCCAAAAAAAACTTCATATGGACAGCTTGTCACTAGTAAACGTTTTCGGTAGAAACAACCAAATGTCAAGTTAAGCAAAACTAGATTCTATTATAAACAACCGAGATAGCAAACATCATTAGTGCGGAATAAAAGAAAACATCTAATAAAATAGCGAGGTTTAGCAGAAAAAGTACATCACACTTAGTAATGACTTATCCGTAGCCCACCTGGTCCTAACCTGCTCACCGTTGACCCACCCACTTGGAGCCAATTCTTCTCAGTATGAGCTATGTCATCTAAAAACCGTACCAAGGGTTTTACATACGGTTTTCGCATTTTTACACTAACATATGGAATATGAACAGCTGGACTACAACCGAAATTCAGGTATTGGACAACTGTACGCTAATATTACATATGAATGTTCCTGTTCCTCATATTACAATTCCAAAAATTATAGATGTATTTTTCTCGACCACTTTCATGGCTTATTGACGAAAGCTTTCATAAGACTAATCATTATGAACCATATCAAAGATGGCCTGAAACCCACAAAATCCTCTGATTGCAGCACACATCATAAAAAAATAGATTTCTTGCTTCTTGTACAACTGTATTATTCCTTACATACCACCTAAACCCATCTGCCCATCTATCCTATCCAGATCCCCCTAAATCATACAGTGAACAGATAGCGCGGCGTCAACATCTTCATTGACCTCTTGACACCCTAGGCCTACAAGCACGCCACTCCTAGTTTCTCAAGTCTCAATGAAGTCCGAGAAATATAAACCTCACGTCTTCGATGTTCGTTCGACAAAGATTCATAGCATTGAATCTATTTCGTCTATTATATTCTTCAGAACGAGGTCAGTGTTTGTTTTTTTGCACCATCATATGAACGCTGTTGACCTCCAAATTATACCGAAACTGTAAATCCTCCAGGTATTTACGCCTGTAAACACAAGCAAACTTCAAAGCTCACAGAAAATTTTTCCCCCAGGTATTGAACCAAAAGGTCAAGAGGCATAAGACCGATCCCAACACCAAGAACAACTTAGTGTTATTTTTGTCTACAGGTAAATGAAAAAGATTAGATCTTATCTACACATATAAAGATAAAGGTATTTTTAAACTTTTTCACGCTAACATCTACGCTGGTCTTCTAGGGAACGTTGTTTCCAAGTTATAAAGCGTCTACGGTATTAGACACAATAGCTCCAGCGTTACCGTATGAAGTGGGTGCGGGCAACGGCGAGTTGTCAACCACAAGTATGCGAAAATTGGTAAAGTTTATTATATGCAAAACGAAACAATTACAACACATAAAAAGTTCTCACCCACACAGAATGAAAACAACAAGCCGAAAGAAAAACATGAGAGTACACTTACATAGTACGCTCCGTTTCCACGACAGGCCTGTCCTCCCGAAGAATAGCGCCCATTGTTGTAATCGTCGTAGCTATTATAGTACTTGCCACGCGAAAATGTCCCACCCATCGGTGGATAGCGATTTTGAGAACTATTACGGTAATCATTTGAAGAATTGTAGGGGCGACTGCTAAAGCATATTCTAATATTTACTAGCGCAAAACCAATGGTTCAAAAAGAACGTGCCGTATTTCATTTCACACGAAACTCACTTTCTTTCAAAATTCCTCGCGTCACTGCTATGTATACTTGACTGACTATTATACCTGAACACGATATGAAGAGAAAAATACTGCAAACTAAGTAAACAACATGAATAAATAGTTCCCAAGATCGACTTTCTCTTAACCTCGGCATTGGAATATGAATGTGTCGTTTTCTTGTTAAGCAATCGCAAGGTTGTTAAACAGTATACATTTACTTCCATAAAAACACAATACAATACAACGCTAGCTGACGTTTCGGCAGTATCGCCTTCTTCAGAGCCGCTTTTTCGTGACTTCCAATGAGGAAGTTTAGAACAGCTGATTATAGTCGCATGTCGTTGACCACATGGGTCGTGAGTCGTCAACCACATGCGACTATAATCAGCTGTTCTAAACTTCCTCATTGGAAGTCACGAAAAAGCGGCTCTGAAGAAGGCGATACTGCCGAAACGTCAGCTAGCGTTGTATTGTATTGTGTTTTTATGGAAGTAAATGTATGCTGTTTAAAAACCTCGCGATTGCTGAACAAGAAAACGAAACATGAATAAAGGTTCTCTGAGAATAGATCTCCAAATTTGCAAGGAAAAGCTTATTCAAGAAACCCATGATGTAGAGATAACAGGAAAGAAAAGCAAGAAAACTATCCTCATAAAAAAATACCTGCTGCTTTCCCTATTATATATAGTTGGTTCATTGCTATATTGACGATTATGGGATTCATGTGATGGTCTTTCCCGAATTCTATCTTCGCGAATTTCATAGACCTGGAAAGCTGTGGCTGTGAGATCCTATTTAGTAAAGATCACATGTAAAAAACTATATGAGATCCCTTAAGATGTCTACAAGCACTCACCTTCAGGATTCGATCTCTAAATTTCTTTCCATCAAGCTCTTTAGCTCTTTTTAATCCCTCTAATGTAAACAAATCAATTCGTGCTGCATAAGGACGATCCGGCAAGATTGCAACGTCGCGAACCTAATGGTGACCGTGAAAGTACCTGACAACATAAAGCAGACTGGAAAGAAACAATCTGTTCAATACTCACGACGTTATCTCCACCAAAATAATAAAACAGCTCTTCATCTGAACAGACAGGGAGATTTGCAACCTAGAACATGTTGAATTAATAAATTTGATTAGAAAGACTTAAATAATCACGGAAGTCGCAAGGAAGCAACGATATGATTTAGTTGTAGACAGAATAACAAACAGTGAAGGTAAAAAACCATTCCTTCATCTGTAATTTGATAACAAACTGTACAAGTAAGCTCAGTGTTTATAAAAACTTCACAAAGCCAAAATACTGCTGCCAAAACTTGCTTCAACAATGCACCACCCCACCCTTTCCAACAAGAACCATAAATTACCTGAACAGCAAAACTCTGTTGTTTCGGTGGTTTTTGTACGCCATGTTCTAAATCTCGCACATTCTCTTCGCATTTTTGATTTTCGTTCTGTTTCTCACCTGGCATGGCGCTGTCAACCTAAACATACCAAAAAAGTAAATGAACTTAAGTAGTTTTGCAAATACCTCAGCAATATTGTGGTTGTATTTCGCTTAATACCTTTCCATAAAAAATATGTAAGGCAGAAAATAAAAAGTAAACATAGATGAACTTAGTTTGAAAACAATACCACCGATTTAGAAACATTATTGGCTGAAAGGAACAGAAAAAGCTAATTACCTGCTCTTCAGCCATAATTTCGGCCCACGAACCCATAGCACCCATATCGGTCATAGATGGTGGATTGGCAAATGCCACTTCCGCGCCTGAAAAACTCTCAATGCTTAGATAACATAATAGTCATTAAAAGATCTCGGTGAGTAGCGTGAAGAAAGCCTTTTTAAAAAAAGAAGGCGCAAGCTGTTTATTAAAAATTCGATTTGCTGTCTCGTAAGCATCTGTTCATAGAAGTGATTCATAAATTCTGAATTTCTATAGACTTCTAAGTTCTCTATGATAATGGACTACGGTGTTAACATAAGGAACGGAAAGGTCTACACAACACATAATACAACATGAACAAGCACTACCCTACCAACAAGTGTCCCATATTAGGCAACTAGAAGGAAACTGAAGTTATAGCTTACAATGACCATAAAAGATGAGAGACAGTGCTACAGAAACCAAACCGTCAAAAATCATGTAAATATAACAGGCGCTGTCTTAACTACAACAAATGAACAACGGATATTGAGCATTGGTTCTCACTGAATGACAAGAGTCTATCAGATAGTTGCACTGTTTCACGAAAACTGAAAGAAAAAACTGTTGTTTTCCACGCTCACTGACCGAACAAAACGGTATGGCACACAACAAGGATAAATGAGACCAGTTGCGAACATTTGTCTCCTTACAAGATTAGTGTGAAGGACGATACAAGTGAAATAAATTTTGCCTCCTAATATGCACTATCCCACGGTGACTCCTTGCTACGTAATATGTTGAAATTCTCCGACGGAAATGGGAGTCACGAAACGGTATTGCACATGCTTAGATTGGCCATATGCTTATAAACAGAAGCCAGTCCCTACTTGACACACCAGTAGCCCCTTCATTCTCCGCTGGTTCCGATCATCGCCTTCTTCCTGAGAAAATTCGGTCCAGCCGTCCAAGAATTCATATCAATGACTTTAAAAAAAATTTAGGCGGCTTTAGAGAACACTGAACGAAATCCTAATCAGACATGAGTGGGAGATTAATGAAGACCCGACGGAACACTACGACATGTTTGTCGAAGAGCTTAAAACCTGTGCCGAATTCACTTCAGTTCCTAAAGCAAGATCAGATCTCATTGGGATTACCATTAAGGGGTTGCTCCAGAAGAGAAGGAAACTGAAGCTTGATCTTACTGTAACACGCTTAACATGACCAGTAGTTGTCAGTCGCAGAAGAGCTTCACAAGAAGATCTACATAGGTACAGGCAAAGGAGACTTAGAAACAGCAACAAAAAGAACCAGCCAGAAGAAATGCTTTAGGAACACGAGCGAGTACATTGTTCCACTGTCAGCCCAAATGAACGAAGATGGTATCACCAAAAATCCTCGCAGTGATATGGAATTTATAACGGAAAAGTTCGACGCCAACTTCTTTCGTTCCGCAATTCCCGTTGTGGATTTAGACAGAAAGCGTTTAACAGCATCGAAACGAATGTAATTATATCAGAGTTGGGCGACCAAGGAGTGCACCCACCCTGTACACGAACATAAGCAAACTGTTGTCAGAACTGCAGCACAAATATACGACTTTTCCATCAACCCCTCCCCATACCCACGGGAAAAGGAGTTCGACAAGGTGGCTCGGAAAGCATGTTTACTGCTGCACAGCAGTGAACAATTAAATCACTCGATATGGGACGAAAAGAGCATGCGTATTGACAGAAAACTCGTACAAAATCTTAATTTCGAGGATGACATCGTCATCTTTCCTAGGAGCACCAGTGAAGCAGAGACGACGTCCAATGAACTCAACGAAGCGGAAAAAAAGATTGGATTGAGCATAGACACGAAGAAGACTCATTTCATGAAGAATCAATGGTGCCGGGGTGAACAAATAGAACATGAAGAAGGAATAAGATAGCAGAAGGAGAGCAGCATGGGCCGCACTCCGACTACTCAAAGAAATTGCCGACCAACTAACGGATCCAAAACTCCTCGCCCACCTATTCAGCTCAACAGTCCGTCCAACGCTCTACAGCAAAAATATAAGGTGATATTTCAAACCAACCGAGAAGTCTGCGCACCATCCACAAAATGCTTGAACGATGTATTGTGAAACATAACCGGCATACACATGTTACTGGAAAGGGAAACCCTGATTTTCCAAGTTTATCCCATCTTTGAAACCCAAGAGAACATACATCGATAGCGAAACACAGATGGGCCTGTCACGTAATGTGAAAAACAGACGATAGATGATTAAGAGCTATAGAATGAACTCCATAAGGATTCAAGCTCCCCCTAAAACGACTACGCGCACGTAGGGCCACCACCTACGCGTTTGTAAACAGAATCAATCAGCTGTACTTGCAGCTACCAGTGTTTTACAAATTACGGTACGATCGAATTCGCCACTACGCTCGGATCAGACCGCTACCGCAGACGAAAGCAAAGTCAACTGTATATCTAATGTGTTCGACGGTGCTGAGAGGAAAAGTAGAAACACCAACATTCGTTGTTCAATAAAACTACACTTCCTTGAAATATTCTGTTGCTTTAAAGAAACACTCAAGCTCTCATTAAATGCATATAATGTGCTCTTAGCTCGTTTATCCAAACACAAATCTGTTCCGAGTCCTTTACTACACCGATGTCAACACGTACATGCGGTACTCTAACGTGTTGAATAGCCATGTAAAACAACATACGTGCAAGATATACAAAATTAAGTTCATGTTCAACATATATATACACTGTATGCTAACATACATGTATACATACATCAAATAATCCCCCCTACAGTTAGCTGACCTAGACCAAACGTATTTACGGACTTAAAACTAAACTTTGCACCAGAAATAATGAAAAATCACCGCCCTTTCCTAAGAATAAATTGTAAACCGCGACCCTCATCTTGTGTACTCTGAAGAATTGCAGCGACCTTTACATTATTACGGTCCCCAACTTTTAATTACGCAAATTAATCAATTCTGCACAAATCGTCAAGCCCACTAAGTGGGGAAAAATGATAGAATTCTTACGAAATATTTCATACTGTGATAGAGAAAACCCTACTAATGAACGTTCTATGGGACAGTGTTAAACGAAGAAAATTCTCAAGCAAATTTTGCGAATAAAAAAACCTGAAATTACGTCGTAAAGAGGTAAATAAGAAAAAATGTCGAAGCAAACTACTAGTAAATCTGGGACATGACTTACCTCCACCTCCTCCTGAGTTCGATGGATTATCTACTGACATGATTTCTACCTTCGAACAGTTTGCGGTTGTCTGAAAGAAAAAGATTTCATTGCAGTGGTAAGTCAGACTACAGTATTCATAGATGAAAGTGCTCTAACATATCACAGAGTTTTGGAGAGCAGTCACCACGGAATAGCGGATTATAGCACTTTCTCTACAGTAAAGTGAAAATCTCTATCACGTCAAAACACTAGAACGAAATGAAACTAAACCATTACGATGGGAGCAGACCGGTAGCCGACGATAGAATCGCCGACAGGACAGCAACTGACATGAAAGGAAGTCTAGGCAGCATTTAAGCATACGGATAAGATGTTTACCACAACAGATAGCGTTTAAAATGTTCCTATTAGTTCATTTTCGAAAATAATTATTTACTGATAACGTAGCTCCGGAAAAGATAAGCTCTGATCAACAGTCCAAGTATAACACATACAATACAAAACAAGCAGAAGGTGAAATCAACGTAACCATCAAACAATCTATTGCACCTTGACTTCTAAGGAAAATAAACTATGTCACAAAAAAGGTAGGCAGAAAATAAACAAATATGATAGACTACCTTCCGACGGTTTACCGGCTCATCGTGGCTTGGAGGTGTTCCTGGGTGGTGGACTGCGATATACAATGGAGGATTCGTCCCCTAGGCAGGGTGTCCCAAGTTGAGGAAGAGTTATGCGTTTCCATCAGGAAGGCAAGCTAAGAGTAACCCAATACCAAGATCCACCACCGTCCTGGTACCAAAGTCGCATGGTGGCAAATATTCCTCTGAGCCACAAGGGCTGCGACTGCCAGACTTTGGCCAGGCTGACCTCGGAATTCCAGGGAACCACAATGACTTAACTAGCAAATCTCCGAAAATAATGATTATGATGGGGTATGCACAACCAGTAAGGACGGGTCGTTCAACTATAAAGCATTAGGTATGATAGACTGAGAAAGGCGGAACCGCCGAAACGTCAGCCATCGACCAACAACAACGACAACAACATCGCAATCAACGAAAACAACAACAACAACGGAAACTATGTTAGACATTTTCTAACGTTAGCGACTGAAAAACTCTGTGACTCCCAGAACCAAGAATAACAGCAAATAAAATACAAAAGTGAAGGCATTCATATACAAAAACACATAAAAACATTAGCGCATACAACAAACAAAATTGCTGGTTAACGAAGTCCGCTTCCAGATTTGCCAGTCCAAGAGGATTAACCACGTCAATGACATTAGAAAATCCCTTTCACCACGTTAATTTCTCAATTCCCATATCTCAACTCCCACGTTTCTCCCTCATATGAGCAATATCGAGCCGCTTAGTCGCGAAGTTACGTGGCGCGTCCTCAACAAAACTTTAGGATAAATACGTTGGTGTGGGATTGAGAACGCTGGTGAAGCACAAGAACGACAAGTGCAGACAAAACATACGAAAAGGAATACCAGGTGACCGAAGTAGAAGATTCCCAACGATGGTGGCAATATGGGGATAACAACAAAAGCAACAATAGGTTAACAACCACCACATTTTCGCCTTCATAAGAAATCATACCAATGAAACGGCGAACAAACTGCAATTTGTTCATAAATACTGGAAGAATGGAAGAACAACTCTTTTGCAAAGTGTTTTTGATAGTATGTGTGGCGCAGCAATAGCTATCAAAAAACCATAAACACTAAAGCCGGCCAAAGCCGATCAGAACTGATAAAAAGGAAGAGCAAAAAAAAGAAACGCAGTAAGAACAGATATAGCTAACATTAAATACAAAGAAAAGAAGAGGTAAAGCTGCAGTATAAGCAACCAAACACAAGCAAATTCCTGTCAGTGGAGTTGGGTTAACAGCGCTAAGCCTAAAGATCTATTAAAACAATTCAAGCCTTTCATAGTGCAATAATATGTGATAAGATTAACACCCTTTTGGATCATCAAGCTAACACGAGGTTGATTAAAAGATTTATTGGGGTAACATTTCGACGTCTTCGGCTTCTTCAGAGTCGGTAAATATCGATTCGTGATAGGATTGCTTAAGCTTGTTCATCACAAGACAATGTACGTAAAGTCCACAGAATACAGAAGTGATGGATTCAAGACTAATGTCACAGAAAACACCCGCATCGACAAGATGTCCATCAGACAAGAGAAGCACAGCAAAACAAGAACTGTCCACAAAACCAGCAAAACCTAATCTACTTACTTGCTTGGATACCTGTATGCCGCGTCCTCACTAGTTGTGCGGGCCTCAGCATATCCTCCATTTTTCGGAGTTTTGCTGGTTTAGCTATTGTGGCTTCTTGGAATTTCGAAGTGAGCCAGGGAAAAGTCTACCCCAGGTCACCACCACCACGGGCAGTCGCCGCCTTATGTATCTGAGAAAGATTTGCCACCATGCGAATAGTTTGCTACCAAGACGGTGGTGCATCCTGGGATTGGTTTACTCTTAGCTGGGCTTCCTGCTAGAAACGCCGGACTCCTCAGCTTGGGAGACCCTGCCGGAAGGATAAATCCCCTACTGTACATCGCAACCCGACACTCAAGAACACGGTAAACCGTTAGACCAAACCGAATCTACACTCCAAACACAGTCAAAGAACGAACAATCTCAAATAAAACTCATCTTTTCAAGGAAATTGACTGAAGCTGTTCGGAATAGAATCTAAGCATAACATCCCTCATGGGTTAACGAAGAATAACAGACAGCGGCATCCATCTCAACGAGAAAATATCATTGCAGATCACGGAGGGGAGAAACCTACTAGTGTAGAGTACTAATATATGTGAAAAGTACTTTAAAACTAGGAAGGAAAAAGACAGAGAGACGGAAACGCCTGATTCCGTGTCTCAGCTGTGCGGCGGAGTGCAAGGGCGCGTCGCAAGGCCGCGACGCAAACGGAAACACGCAGAGGCGCGCAGAGCGCCGCTCGACCTCGGTCGGACGCGAATTTGCAGTCGGCCCTCGTCACCCCGCACTCCCATCGCCCCACCGTCTCGGACCTATGTATATGCAACTGCTCTAGTCTATTATTTTATCTGACATGAGCCGTCAGCACATCTGCTGCATGGATCCCAGCACTTCTTGTTGCATTCAACCCTATTCCTCGCAGCCAACATCGCCAATGGTCTTTGAACATTTTGTCTGTTTTTTCAGCCTCTGCTTGGTAATTCCGTTTTCTTTGTGAATGCCCTAGAGTGCTGGTCGAGTCGATTCTCCTTGCGATCTTGGAGATACCCCAGCTGAGGCGTTCCCACGTGGATTAGAGGACATCATGGATAGGGGTCGAATTACCACTTTCATTCCCTATGGGCTGCTTCACTAACCGTTGCGCTACTTTGTCCCTGAACTTCGTAATAGGACGAGCTTTAAAAGCGAAAGACTATACCATGTGGAAAAGCAGAATTCATTTGCGACTCGCAGATTTAGACTCTGCTATTTTTGCCGAACATGGAAATCACTCCACAGAAATTACACAAACGAGAGCTCCCGGGTATCCTTATGAACCGCTCATAGACAACGCCAGAAAAACCAAGTCTGCAAATACCACCAAATGTATTTCTTGCGTCATCTTTAAAGCGACGTAGGAATTTGTCAAACTTTGTTGAAAAATGATTTAAAAAGTTGTAAAGGCTGAAAAAAGCTTAGAGACATCGAAAGTATAAAAGATAAAGCTTCCTGGCTGATGATCCGCATGCATTCGACTTCATTACGCCTCAAAGAAGTGGACGAGAATGCATATCTGACGTATAGAATGACTTTCGTTGGCCTACCGACAATTCAAGTCAGGGCTTTTTATCCTTTCAAAAACCACCAATTTGTCGGCTGCGGAGGGAGCGGAGGCGTGTTAGCTCAGGACTCGGAATCGAACCAGTAACCGATCATATGTTTGCAGAACACCTTTAAATAGCATGCTGCTTGCACCTTGGAGGTAGTGATAATGCCACTATCTAGAGCTGTTCTTTTTTCCTTATAAGAAGAATTAGCTTTCAAGAGGAGAAAAAAAGTTTTGGTGGAAGCTGCAGAGCTGACAAACTCGTTCACAACGTTCATCGTTTAGACTTCGCAGATTGCAGAATTGAGCAGACTACAGCTGAAGCAGAATTAGTCGTCGTGATCCTGGTTATCGTAGGGACCTAGATATAGATATGGGCAAGTACGTTGAAAAAAGTCACAACATGACAGCTGCTATGATCGACTTTCTATTAACCTCGGCATTGGAATATCAATGCGTCGTTTTCTTGTTCAAATTGCGAGATTGTTAAACAGCATACATTCACTTCCATAGAAAAACACACAATGCAATACAACAGTAGCTGACGTTTCGGTTGTATCGCCTTCTTCAGAGCCTGGAAGGGTATACTGATATACAATTTACTAAGCCAAATGCTTCAATAACAACTATAATACTGATATATTTACAAAACTCCGGACCGCAGGTGTCTGCGGTGGGGAGCGAACGCGCTATTGTCCTTTCCGGTGAGTAACGCGTTCACCACCACACCATGCGGTTCCTTCGTTCCGCGTGTCTCTCAGCTAGATCTTTCGATCTTTTACCATCAGCAATTATCCCTCAACAGGATTTGTCTGGGGAGCCCAAATCGGCATTAAACCGAGTTAAGTTGAGGTCATAGTTATAACCAATCTTAACCTTTTTATTTACTACGTAGAACTAGCTGAGAGACAGGCGAAACGAAGGACCCGCATGATGTGGTGGTGAACGCGTTACTCCCCGGAAAGGAAAATAGCGCGTTCGTTCCCCACCGCAGACACCCGCGGTCCGGAGTTTTGTAAATATCTCAGCATTATAGTGATTATATTTCGCAAAAATACCCTGCCGTTAAAAAGAATGGGCAGTAAATAAAAAGGTTAAGCTTCAATAACACTTACAGAAAGGCGGAAAACTCTGTGGTAGTTACATGATCAACAACTTCTCGAAAAAACCACCGCTTTTTCCTGACTTCCAATGAGGAAGTTTAGAACAGCTGGTTATAGCCGCATATGGTTGATGACTGCACCATCCCACATCGGAAATTGATGCGAACATACAGAGTAAGGTCGCGTATGACTTCTGGGCATTCATCCCTGCTGTTCATTGTAGGGTTTTTGGCATTTATCCAAAAAGCCTGAGGAAGTATATTCTTCATTTTTGCGATTTTGACGGTAAGGTAGCTACTGATAGTTAACCTGGCTCTATGACGGCTTCAATTTCCTTTTAGCTTGGCTTCTAGATGGAATTATCAAAATTGTCAGGTTGAATGATTTTGCTGGATGAACACCCATGAAAATCATCCACCATCATAGGGGCAGTGAACAGCTGATTCAACGTATTTCTATTAGTACAGATGTAGAATTCTCTACGCGACACGAATCAAGAATTTTAGAAGATAATGGGAAATCAATGAACATCATTCTCCGTAGTTAGGTTGACCCCGTGGACTGTTTTCTTTTAAAAAAAGTGTTACCTTCTCTTTTTCTTTGAGAAATATTGCGGATTATGGTAGAATTTGATGACATTAACCAGCACTTATTGGCAAAAAACTAGGAAGTGAAAATATGGAGACGTCTGAGGCCTAAATTGGTTCTCCCGTTTTTAACAATACGAGGGAGTAATAGAAGAGTTTCATTGCACTATGAGGTGGAGTAGATGTTTAATAATCTTGCAAGTTGCTCTCGGATACGACTTTTTCAAGCGTGGCCGTGAAAGGATAAAGGACGAAGCTCTCTTCGTTGATCAATCCCTGAGGGATGCGCCATGCATTCGACTTCATTAAACCTCGTTAGAGGTGATTGAGTGCATATCTGGCTTCTGCAATGATTCGCGGTGGCCTACCGATATATCAAGCCGGTGCTGCAATCCTTCCAGACAAGTCTGGTACCAATTTGCTGACCCCGGAGGGATGGAAGGCTTGGTGGCCTATGGGCTCGAGGTCCGATTCCATGTGTGTGTCGCACGACGCCTCCGACCGCTGCGCCACACCCGCCCTTATCGTGTGCTACACCTGGCCATATCACCTGTATCACCTATAGTCCCTTTGATCGTCGAGTGACTTGAGAGGGCGCCAGTGGATCTTCCATTTTTCCTTGTCGCGTGCAAGAGTAACCCAGTGGTTTCTGCTCGCTTTAGGGGCTCGTCGAGCATCACATCTTTCTTCTAGGCTCTTCGTGAGGAACTCTGACCATCGGATCGGTGGTCTTCCTGCAGTACGTTTGACATCCCGAGTAATCCAGTCACTAACGGCTCTTGTCCATCGATTGTCATTCATACGCAAGTCCACCTTATCTTCGACTGTTTGTCGTACAGAACGGCATCATTGACTTTTGATCGTTGACACAGATCGGAGCTTCAGATCCCATTCCTTACTTGTGTGGAACTGGATGCTCCTATCATCGTCCTTTCGACTGCGCGTTCGATAACGCTGTATAATTCATCCTGTTTTCGCTGCGACCAGGTTTTTGACGCGTACGTTAGGGCAGGAAGTACCGTTGAGTCGAAAAGGTGGGCACGGAGTTAGGTGTTCTTTGTTCTCTTCGCGACATCCTCGATGCTCTTGAAAGCTCCCCAAGCCGCTCGTTTCCTTCTGCTCATTTCTGGAGCTATGTCGTTCATCAAATTGATTTCGCGACCTAGATGGATATAACTGGAGTATTCGGAGATATTCGCTCCGTTGAGCGTGAATGGGGCATACGAAACCAATCCGTTCTTCATGAACATCGTTTTTGTGAAATTCAGTCGAAGACCGACCTTTCCACAGGCTTTATTAAAATCGGCAAGCATACGTTCCGCTTGGTTAATGTTTGGTTTTATAAGGACGATGTCATCAGCAAAGCGAAGATGATGTAACTGCCGACCATCGATTTACACTCCCATATTATACCATTCCAAAGTTCGCATGACGTTCTGGAGGGCAACGGTAAATAATTTTGGCGAGATGGTATCGCCTTGCTTAACTCCTCTTTTGACGTCAATGTTAATATCGTTGTAGAATAGTGGCATCTTGGTTGTGAAATTTTTGTACAGCTCACGAAGAATCTTTATGTACTGAGAAGGGATTCCTTGACTATCAAGGGCTTCCATGAATGCTTCTATCTCAATTGAATCAAAGCCCTTCTGTAAATCGATGAAAGAGAGGCAGAGTCTTGGTCAGTCTGGTCTCTTGTACTCTCGCGATACTTCAACAAGCCTTGTTATCGTATGGTGTGGTCCATCGTACTAAATCCTTTTCGAAACTCTGCTTGCTCACATGGTTGTCCTTCGTCCAGTCTTTTGTCAATCCTGTTTAGGATGGCTCGAGTGAAAAGTTTGAAGACGACAGATAGCAAGCAGATTGGACGATGGTTGCCGATATCGTGTACGTCACCCTTCTTGAACAAGAACATTGTCTTACTGGTCTTCCACTGAGTAGGGATCTTGCATTGAGACAAGTAACGTGTGAACAGCCGACCAATGTGTTCACGAGTACTGGTGAAAGGTTCTTTAGGTGTTGTGATCTTATCCTGTCCGAACCGGGTGTTGTTAGATTTTTCACTGACGAAATGGCATGTCCGATTCTGGAAGTAAGAACAGGTGGTGCAACATATCCATCCTCCTTTATTTCATATGACGAGGGGTGGACGTGGCTATCGAAGAGATCCGTGTAGTGTTTGTGAATGATTTTCTACATTGCCCTTCTGGACGCTGCAACTGTTCCGTCTGGACGCCAGAGTGCAATCATCTTCGTCTTGTAATTTGCGAAGCTTCGATGGGCTTCGCGAATGCTTTTCCTGGCCTCTGCAGCTTCGACCATGAAGATGTTGAATGAGCCGATCGTATTTTTCGTCGATGTTATCGACAACGGCATCTTCTCAATAGCTGACTAATGAATTGAATAAGTCCCAGTTTGCGGTGGTTCTGGGACTTTGGTTTTGGAATTCAGCTGCTTTTCCTCCTTTCCGCGAGAAATAGTCTTGAACGAAGAAGACGATGGTCTGATCCGGTATAGAATTTTGGGACAACAATGACATCGGTTAGATAAAACCTTCTACTTACTATGATGTGGTCTACTTCGTTATGGTACTCTCCATTGGGAGACTCCCATGTCCAGCACTGTGGGTGGGGCTTCTGGAATTGCGAGTTACCACGGATTGTTTCGGTCGCTATGATGAACGCAGTCAGTCGCTCACCCTGTTCGTTCCATTCTAATCCGTAGCTTCCAATGTGACGTTCTTAAGACGTTTTTCTTGGTCCAATCTTCGCGTTGAAATCTCCAATGATGACCTTGAAGAATGTACTGTCTTCTCTGTAGAACTTCTCCGTGTCCGTATAGAACGCTTCGACTTCTTCTTCGTCATAGTTTGATGTCGGCGCCTGAACGACGAAGACTGTCAAAGCCGGTATTGATCCACATTTTTTTAATAGTAAACGTCCGATTAGGGTTGTAAGCTGTTCAAATGAATCGATGTTCATGGACAAACTCGTGTTGATGAGAAAGCCAACTCCGCCGACTCCTCTACTTTTGCATGTTCCGAGGAACAGTTCTTCTCGGATGTCATAGACGGCATTGAATGGGTGGCCTCTTCTCGTCTCGGCCAGGCCGATGACGTCGTGCCTTATCCTTCTTGCTTGCATGAACAAGTCTTCTATTGAGGGCTCGGATGCAAGCGTACGTGCATTGTAGGTGCATCGCCACCATAGTTCTTCGTGATCAAGGCAGCTTCCATTGGCCCTGAGATCTTAGCGGCCTCTCCGTATTCGTCCTACCCAACGCTGCGAAATTGGGGACTCTTTCGGGGTCAGGAGAATGAAGCCCCTTTTTTTTGCTGTGTTTAGCATTTTGACACCTTCGTGTAGCTTGCTCAGCTCTGAACGTGGCGGCTGGATATACTCACGGGTAGCCTGCCAGTCTCTCCCGGAGTGGACATGGAGCTTATTTGTTGGCGGCGACTCCTAACCGTCTCGCATATACTTCCTTGTCACTTGAATGCAGGCTTTTGGCCGACTTGACTCGTGGAATACAATCCGCATAAGCGAGAACGCACCCACACAAGCATACATGAATACGCCTAGCAAATACAGAAAGTATGTGCCAAATCGGCGCAGCATAAACAGGGAGTCCATCCACTGGATCCACCTGCTTCTCAGAGAAGCAAAGGTCGTTTTTGGTCCGCGATTAACCCCCTATCCGCCATCTGGAGCGCGCCACGCAGCATCGTGACTTACCGGCTGGGAATCCCTCATATGAGTGAGATCCATGAAGCCCTGGCCATATAGACCAATAATTTACACAGAGATACAATCGAAGTCTCGCCGCTGCCATGAATGTTCTAGAGAGTAGACTGTATCAATAGACCTAAAAAGCAAGAAAACGTGTTGGCATAATTTGAAAAAGAATGCAGATCCGGAAATCTAGCGAGAACCAGAATCTTTTCACCCACGATTGTTCAGGTTTCTAACTTTAATCATTAGGCTCTATTAATCGTTGTGTGATTCGAGTGACCTTTAAAGAACTCTCTGCTTGTCGTTGTCACGTGGCAGAATTGCGCATTGGGTTATGCTAATTGGAGGGATACAACACATTGTTTTGTTCACATTTTTCAGTTAAGGTCTTTGTAAAGAAATACGACTGTAGGGTCAATGGTCTTCTTAGCATGCACTTGACATTACATGTAACCAGGTCGGTGTTCGTCTTGTTATGTACTTGACATTCTATGCAACTATATTCATTATGGTTCACGATAGCTGTTGCAATTCAAAGGCATGGCGTATCTGGATGAATCGCTTTTCTTTCAAAAAAAAGTGCAGCTCGTGGTGCAAAACATAATGGCCAAAAATCCTATCGGAACATATTGCTGCGATTCGTTGAAAACTTCCTTGCATTTGAGAAGCTCTGTTATATCTACAACGGTAACTGTCAATAATCCGGTAGATCTTAGATAGAACCGTTTTTGTGAATGCGTAAAGTGAAGTAGGTCGAATGTTGTATGGTACTTTCTGCCATGCTGATGTTTTCATTTGTTGTCGCAACACCAGGTCTCAAATTTGGACAAACTGTAGAGATTGTTCTCCATCCTTTATGGAGTATTTTATCATCAGTCTCGTGTATATAGTAAGCACCTTTTCTCAACATTGCTTACTGTTACCGTGCAAACATTTGAATTCCAAATTACGTCAGCCAAAACCTGCCTGCCTACCCTACATTGTTACTTCTCCATAACCACCATGAACACCAGGCACAACAACATCGCTTGGTGGCTTGACTCGATGACTCGCCCCGTTCAAGTATGGGTACCGTCGTGACATTCACTTGCATACTGTTCAGGCCGTTTACGTCATTATTCATTTCTTTCGGTTAGTATCCTTACAATCACCATATATATCTTACTGCTTTACTTCATATAGAAAATCTCAATTGTTAAATCTACCCATACATAGCGGTGCGTGTGGTGCAGTGGTAGGAGGCGCCCTGCAACATACACATGGGTTCGATCCCGGCGGTGGTGGCTCACCAAGCCCTCCATCCATCCGGGATCGGCAATTTGGTACCAGACTCGTCCGGGAGGACAGCAGCACTGGTTCGATAGTTCGATACATCGGTAAGCCACCGCGAGTCATTGTAAAGGCCAGATATGCAATCAGTCACCTCCAAACGATGCTTAATGAAGTCGAATGTATGGTGCGTCCCTCAGGGATTTATCAACGCCAAGAGCTTTTTGCTCTATCCTTTTTTTACCCACGCGCCGCCATTATAGTACGTTAAACTCATTCTACGCTCATGTACTTCTAACACATTAAACCCATTGTACGATTATTATAAGTTAATATTTGAACTTACATGTACTATTTACTGCGTTAACGTCATTGCAGTGTCATGACAAGCTTACATGCACCACTAATGTGCTAAACTGATTATGCCGTTACTATAGGCTAGCGTTATCACAGCCCTACATGTTTCTAATATGTTAACTTTACTGCACCGTTACTACAAGTCACATGTGTTTTTTTAAGTGTCAACTTTTCATACCGTTTTTTATACTATACTGTTGTATTTCATATTACATTTGCGCAACATATTATACCACCGTTATATGACAAACCTAGTCTTCTACTTTTAAGCATCCTCTTACGTATTGTCTTATCCTCAATTATTGACTTTATTACCATATTTTTGATGTTTAACGTTTTGTTTTCTGCCTTCTATAATTTTCATGGCAGGTTACTAAGTGAAATACAACCACAACGTTGCTGAGTTATTTGCAATATACTGCCATGAAAATTATAGAAGGCAGAAAACAAAACGTTAAACATTGTGATTTCAACTACAGCCATAGCTTAACTGGGTTCTATGCCGATTTGCGCTCCCCAGATCAACCCCGCTGACGGGTGATTGCTGTGGCAAAAAGATCGATAGAAATATCTGAGAGACAGGCGAAACAAATGACCCGCATGGTGTGGTGGTGAACGCGTTAGTCCCCGGAAAGGATAATAGCGCGTTCGTTCCCCACCATAGACACCATATTTTTGCTTGTAATCTTCCAGTATTGGTAAGTCGTTACTGGTCTGTTACTACTGTTATAGATGGTTTAATTGCCCATGTTTGAAATTACGAGCTGCGGCACGCACGAAAGAGTCCCGCATGGCAAGCTCAATGAAGAGCTACAACCACGATACGTAACAGGAAGAAAAAACAGTGATATTGCACGTAGCGTGGCTATCAGTATTTAGAAACCGACTTTTAATAAATATCAATAACAATAATTCATAATTTCCCACATGATTAAGCTGTCACGAAGTTGGTATAAAGCTCTTATTCGGCTAAAGTTTCGGCGCCTTCGGCTTCTTCAGAGCCGTGTTGATCCGAGTCGATGGTCACCAGTTGGTCGTCATCTCGACGCGGGCGTTCGTTGTCGCATCGAGTGGAATCCAGTGGAGGAAGCATCGCGCGAATGGCGAACTTCACTCGGGCGGCCAATTCATGCTGTAGTGGTCTGTACTTCAGTTGCTGGCACGTAGCGTGGTAATCAATATATGAAAACCGATTATAATTAAACTTCAGTAACATGTTTTATACAAACCTAGTGCTAATTCAATCATGTAGAAAGTTATTGATTATTGTTGCTGAAGTTTAGTGATATTATTGATCATCAGCTAAGGAGAGTATGGTCAGCAGCAAGTGGAACAGGGTATTGGCAAGAGTCCCTAAACCAATAACGAACCTTATATACGGTTTGGGAATGGACGGAACGTACGGCTGAGAAGTACTGCAGTTGTTCAAAATGTCTAGAGTTAGACGAAGCTTTCTAACTTTCAGAGGTGTATGCGTGTTATGAAATCTCTGCCATTCGTGGTCTTGAGGAGACCATATGCTCTGGGTGAAAAGAATTTCCTGATGCAGAGAACTGGAACAAATATGGTTATAGAGAATATTCTGTATACTGCATTCTTGCCAATACAGTATGAATATAACGTTGCGGAAGAGACTCGATCCATGATGGGCCGCGTGTGTAACTAGGTTTTCATTAAGATGAATGCGATGGTATTACTCGACTTGAGCATGGTCAGTAGCTTTACTCACCGTCACTCAAGTCTAATTCTAATAGTGCCACGTCCTCCTAAACTTCAGAGCTTGATGGGACATACGGAAAAGCAGTGTTCTTCGTCTTCGTTCGTTGAATTAGCCGTGTTTAAACAGCGATTCGGTCAGAACATCGCTGTTGTTGGTTCGTGTACAACGTTTATTTGAAGGTAATGAAAACGTACAGGTATTTAAACAGAGATACATGAGCAATTAAAGCTTAACTGTAACATTGAACACCCAAACAATTGATATGCACACTCATGGAGGATTCTGGATCGAGCATTTGACCACTTACATTTAACAACAGCAGTGAACTAAGAGTTGGAAAACTCTGTCTGTAGAGAGGGAACAAGAAGGTAATCGAGCGGATCGAGCTGCTCTAAAACGGTATTTCTCAGAACGAAACATGCAGAAAAGGACCGATGCTGAGTACAAGATTTCTTTCGTTAATTACCGAGAAACATTAAGTGGTACAGAACAAGAACGAGCATTCTCAAACTCCTTTCATCACTTGGAATCCATGTTATGACAGATATCAAGATGTTAGCTCGTGTAGAACAGTGGTTAGAGGTACCCTGTAATATAAATGGGTCCGATCTCTCGCCCAAGACTCACCAAGGCTTCCATCCGTCTGGAGTCAGCAAATGGGTACTGAACCCAAAATGGTCCAGGAGGGTAGCAGCACTAGCTCAATAGATCGGTGGAGCACCACGAGTCATTGTAAAAACCAGATCGCCAGATATGCATTCGATTACTTCTAGCCATGCTTGATGAAGCCGTGCATGCACGACTGCGCGGCGTTTCCGTCAGGTGTCGATCAATGTCGAGAGTTTCTCCTTTATCCTTTTTATCAAGATGTTGAAACACATGGTTAGACAGCCAGCTTCAACATTGTGACCTCTTATTCAGTTATGGAATTGATTAGAAATACAGGAAATAAACTCAAAAAATTGTGAGAGTGCTCGGAATGCTAACCAAAGCACAAGATTTCTGTGGAAGGACATCATACATCTATGAAAATTAGTAACGTTCTAACTAATACCACCATGATTTCTAACTAAACTCATCAAGATGATCTTTCTTTTGCTTCACTGTATGCGTAATAAGGGTTGCAATCTGCACAGGATATGATTCTTTTTCAGATTTAATATTGTTTTGAATTAGCACCACGGTATGTTTACACGTACTTACGTGATGCTTGAATGGCCCGTCTTCACTGGTTGTGCGGGCTCCAGCACAATCTCCATTTTTCGGACATTTGCTGGGTAAGTCATTGTGGTTCCTTGGAATCTCGAGGTCAGCGTGGCTAAAGTCTGCCCCAGGCCTTCATCACCACAAGCAGTCGCAGTCCTTGTGTATAAGAGGGAGATTTGCCACCATGCGACTTTGATAGCAGGGCGGTGGTGGATCCTAGTATTTGTTCACTCTTAGACAGGCTTTCTGATGGAAGCGCCGGACTCCTTCTCAGCTTGGGGGACCCTGACAGGGAAAAGAATCCTCGCGCTGTATATCGCAGCCTGATACCCTGGAGCACCTCCCGGCCACGATGAGACGGTAAACTGTTGGGAGGCCTGTTAATCAAATTTTGATATATAATTACTATCAATACTGTTAGGACGAATTAGATTGATGAGGCAATAGTAGTAAACTTATAGAACAGTTCCTCGTCATAGTCTATTGGCTCGATCCAGAAATGATGCGCAAAAAGAATTTCCGAGTCAACAGAAAAGACTACTGTTGGAGTATTTAACATCAGAGGGCCACATGAATGAATGAAATGTACATTAACTACGTAAGCGTGTAATGTGCCTAGAAACCAATGCCAGTAATTTGACGACGTTAGATTAAAATAGGAAGGATCACCTATGTCGGTGAGGATGAGAGCAAGTGTGCAACCAGAACACCATAGAGTTCCGGTTTCTAATCACACTTCGTCACGAAGGTCATGGAGGAGAAATATCGTGTTCTTTGAATCTATAGAATGGACAGAACTCACTGCTAAACTAGGAGACACTACAGGGACAAATGCAGAGTTTACTGGCACAGGTATCATAAATGCAATTATCATAGAAAGACTTCTCCTTCAATTCTAACCTTGATTTGTACGGTCTACCGTTGAAATCCCTATGCAACTCACTCACATAGTTCGCAGCTCAAAAAAATAAGTCAAAGTTCACGTTGTGGAGCAATCCAAGGCCTGGAAAACTATAAAAGCTGTCATCTCGCCTTAACACTACATCTCATTCTTTGGATTTCCACAGGACCGCCATCTCTGTGGTTTCACGAATTTAGCCCAGAAAATGAGATATGATATCACTCCATCTAACTAACGGTGAAAAACAAAGCGTTCAGAATGTTTTACTTTTTATTTGCTGTCTACCACAATTTTTCACGGCAGGTATTATGCGAAATACGACTACAACGAGGCTGAGATATTTACAAAACTCCGGACGGCAGGTGTCTGCGGTGGAGAACGAACGCGCTATTACCCTTTCCGGGGACTAACGTGTTCAGTGCCACGCCATGTGGGTCCTTCGTTTCGCATGTCAGCTACTTCTATCAGAGTGAGAAAGAGTTCAGAGCTTGTCTTAGCCCTCAGGGCACCAAACCTTCGACTATAACGATACATACTGTGTTGCTCTTGTTCTAATCATTAGTCAAACCCTTCTCTTTGGTACTGAGTTCTACAGCATGTATGTACATCGATAATTTCATAATTCTTTTATTTCCGTTCGTATTTGAAAAGAAAGAGGCTGAGAGCCTGTAATGACACAACAGAGGAATTGATAATGTTCCTAAAGATGTACCGTCTCGAGGCATACTGGTGAACAGGAATTTTTTTTCTGCGTCCTCATATCTTCGCCACTAACAGTCTCTGTTGTAGGCGATGCCGTAGTACCTTCCTCGCGAAGGAAACTCTCTGCGCCAAAAAGAAAAACATGTTAGAGAGTTCTTGTAAATTATCAAGTGTAGTGACTATCTCTTCAAGGACGACATTTGCCCTATCAGTGTTCAAAAAACTGCTGCTGATTACAGAAAGTATAGCACTAAAGTTCCGTGCTGGAGAATTAATAGTTTAAATGAAAACGCATCCAGATAAATGCATAAGGTCCGCTTTTTCGCTAGCATTGATATCGATCTAAAGGTATTGGACATCCTGGAGGTAATTAAATGCATATTAGGCCCGTGCACTGAATTCCGCAGCCCTACCGATTTGTCAGACCAGTTTCTTTACCCTCGCAGACAGGTGTTGTATTAGCCTGCGGACCCCAAATTTCTGAGTTGCATGGTTTTCCAGGGAGATGATTGAACCGACGAAGAAGTACATGGCAGAGCGGCTGTAATCACTGATTCACACGTGCCCTTACATCCGCTACTTGTTTAAGGTATTGAATCGAATCGTAGGAATGTGTTCAATGTTCACCTGAAACTCATGACATAAATTAAAGTGAACTGTTGTGCTTCTTTCAAATTCCTTTATATTCAATGGAAAGTGTGCAATAAACAATATGAGTTAACTTTCAGCTCAAACTTTACCTTAACAATCCAGGAAGGTAATAAATATTAAATTTCTAGTACGTATTAGAACATAGCGACCGAATTTTTCTGTCCGAATCGATAGTCGTTCGGGTAATTTCTTCGAAGAAAGACCAAGGACAGAAGAAGAAGGTACAGGTAATGGGACATACATGTAGTGAGAGATACAGGTAATGAGAGATGGACTAAACACACGTAAATAGAGGTATAGCACCAGCGAGAGATAGCAAATAGAGGTATAGCACCAATGTTTCTGCTAGGTATAAGTAATAGTAATAGCGATACAGCCGCAATATGAGAGAAAAGTCCTGAAAACCATGGAGACGAGAAGACAGATGAGCATAAAAACCCGTTAATAAGTCACTGTTTCAGACAGGAATGGTGCTAAACAAAACTAATGTCTAGTGGCTGTTTTTGGCCCAATCTTCTGTCCGCGGCTTGAAGTCACGTTCAGATTACATCATTGAAGTAGTTGAACTTGTCGAACTGAAACGTGCTGCTGAATAGACAAGAAAGCAAATACCGTTCAGCAATGGTTTAGTGGTCTTCCAGAGAGCTTCGAGATTTTCTCAAGAAATTTCCGGATCTGTGAGCATAAAGCGTTCGCCATTCATCAATCCTTGAAGTGGCATATATTTGTACATGCGCAATATACGTATATTGGCCTATACAGTAATTTTTAGGAGCCCTTGGACGTAATTAGTCAGTGCTTTTGTCCTCCGACAGATAAGTCTGGTGCAATTTGCTAACTCCGGAAAGATGGAGGACTTGGTTTTTTTTAAGATGAGGATATGACCAATGACTACGTGTGCATTGCCTGAGACCGTTCAGCACCTTATCAAGGAATAGAGTATGGGACGAAAATATTATTGTGAACTTGTCTATGGTTTTTTGCTTTGAAGAATTAAAAGTTATAGATGAGTAACCTCATAATTCTCATCAAACTCTTCCAGACTTTCCTCGCCGTTCCAGTCGACGTCCGGATGACAACTGCCTTCGTTGTTATTTGAAATTTCATTCAATGGGTTGTACTGGAATTACTCAACAATTGCAAAAGCTCAAATCTCAGAACACAAAAAATATTACTTCAATGATGCTGAGATATTTGCAAAACTCCGGACCGGTGGTGTACGCGGTGGGGAACGAACGCGCTATTGTCCTTATCGGGGAGTAGCGCACTTCACCACCACACCATCCGGGTCCTTCGTTTTGCCTGTCTCAAATATATTGTCCACTACAAAAATATTGTCTACTACAAGTTATGAGCCGTTAGAGTAGAGAATAATCCTCCGAAACAACAAGAATGGCAAAAAGGCAAATCTAGTTGAATAGAAATGATAAGCAAACACGCACTAGAACCAATGACGATGTCCGTAGATCGAAAATAGAAAACATCGATGAACGAAATATGGTAATTTGAACCCCTTGGCTCCGTAATACTCCATTTGAAATTTGAATCTTTGTTTGAATTACCTGGCATGGCCATCGCTCAGAGGAAACCCATTTAGTAGTTCGTTTCATTTATAAATCACGGAGAAAAGTAGAATGTATCATTAGTGATGACTCAGCATTTGTCGGGTCATCAAAATCCTAGTCTTGAAGTCATTTTAAACAAGCAATACAATAATACTGACTTGCATCACGAACGTTTCTTTCATCGGCTCATATAGGCTTTACTTCCGATAAAAAAAGATAAAGGATAAAGCTCTCGACTTTGATCAAACTCTGAAGGATGCGCCATGCATTCGACTTCATTAAGCATCGTTGGAGGTGATTGAATGCAAATCTGGTCTTTACAATGAATATCGGTGGCCCACCGATATATCGAGCCAGTGCTGCTATCCTCCCAGACAAATCTGGTACCAGTTTTCCGACCCTGGAGGGATGGGGGCTTAGTGGGCCGTGGACGCGTTGATCGATTCCGCGTGCGTTTTGCAGGGCGCCTCCGACCAATGCGCCACACGCATTCTTCCTTCCGATAGTCGATGGAAATGTATGCAGCAGAAAGAATAAGGCTAGTTTTTCAGGAAATCTCATAATTAGAACTGACAAGCCTGCTGCATCGGTAAGCGATTTTACAAGTTGATTTCTCTTTTAATGGAAAATTTCAAGTAAAAATTTCTACCTTGAGCGAAGTAACGTCTTCGAAATTAAATGAGAAAAAGAAACAGTGACTTCTGAGGTCACCGAATGACTGTATCCTCCTATTAGAGGGAAGTGCAAGCATCTGGAATCGATGATGAATGTGTTTGAGGGCTTATTGAGAAAGAAAGTTGTAATTTCTGATCGCAACCTTGTCAAACAAATCTCCTAACTCCGGACTGCATTCCACAGGAGTGCTGTAATCCACGAATCTGAAAGGGTAAGATTAAGTGGTTAAAAAATCCGCTAACGGTAAAAAACTGTCTAGCTCTCAACGAATGATACCGTTCAACGAATCTATGAGACAACACCTCTTTTTTATGTGGTTCTCACCAGCGATTTGTGAAAGTATTTAGATACCTCAGTCTTTCCAGAACAAGGACATCAAAATCTGTATAAACTTAATAGACATAGACTTCTCTCTATAGAATAATTTATACTCCCTTTGGTGCACGAAATTGACATTTCAATTGAGTGATCTTCAACAAACGCTTTTTACGTATTCATGCGTCTTTCACTTTTCTATTACTTTAGTCTCTCCTCACTTCACGTTTGAAGAAATTTTAAAGTGTTCGATTTTTTACGATTTTGGAACAGAACCTCAAATGACGATGATGAGTCGCATTAGCGTTTGGATACGGATATTTTCCGGTGACGACAATATGCAGAAGCACCGCCAGCGACCACCAATCGACGTAGTGTGAGTACGGTTTCTCAGAAGCGATATCAGGTGACATGTACTATAAAATCGCCACTTAGTTACGAAGACGTTTTGGAAGATTTGGTTCAACATATTTATGGAATGACTTTTTTTTACAAAAAAAAATTGACAGCGAAAGGAACTAACTGTCTTAACTTTTCACTATTTTACCTTTCCTCTCATATTTTCTCTGAAACGAATGTGCATCTGAATGAAAGTCTTGGATGCAAACCGCTCACATCAAAACCTTTGGCAAATGGTCTTGAGAGAAGTAAAATTCACCTGTAGTGTCCCACAAATAGTATTTGTCCGTTCACCATTTTTCAGCTCTTTTGCCAAACCAAAGTCAACTAGTTTTACGTGCCCTATTGAATCCAATGTGACATTTTCGAGTTTCAAATCCCGATAGATGACATCGTGACTATGAAGAAAGTCTGCAACAGGTTTAGAATTAAATAATTGAAACATCAGAGGCATAAGAGCGGTCGGCGTTGGCCATTTTCTAGACGATACCTCATGCATTCAATTGCATCCGTAGAATTGCTGTGATGAATGAATGCATACCTGGGCTGTGCAATGACTAAGGGGGCCTATCGTTATATTGTTTTTTATCTACATAGATAAGTCCATTTCTAATTTGCTGACCTAAGAAGGAAAGAAGACTTGGAGAATCTGGGGCACGTGACAGAATCAAAGACCCTATGTCTGTTGCAAAGCACCTCTATCCACTGTACCACATCGGCCTCGACGAAAATGTGTTAAACAACTTCCGTAAATCACAATGTAGTCACTTTTTATTTAGCGGCTATTCTTTTTTCATGGCAGGGCATCATGTTAAATATAATCACAATGATGCTGAGATATTTGCAAAACTCTGGACCGCAGGTGTGTGCAGTGGGGATTGAACCTGTTATTACCCTTTCCCGGGGCAAATGGGTTTACTACCACATCATTCGGGTTCTTCATTTCGCTTTTCTCTCGGCCATCTTATAAGGTATAAGTGCTATCAGCAATCACCCGTCAACGGGATTAATGTGGGAAGCACGAATGGGTATTGAACCCAGTTAAGCTGAAGCTGTAGTATAAGTAACAATGTCAATGTTTTTCTATTTTCTGCCTATTCTTTTATCTTCCCTAGGTTATTAATCGCTATGGAGACCCTATTACTTCTATCTGCGGTATTGCCACTAATATCCCATGCTTTCTGAGCTGGTACTGACAATATCAATAGTTCCCAGGATCGACTTTCTATTAACCTCGGCATTGGAATATGAATGTGTCGTTTTCTTGTTCAGCAATCGCAAGGTTGTTAAACAGTATACATTTACTTCCATAGAGAAACAATAGAATACAACGCTAGCTGACGTTTCGGCAGTATCGCCTTCTTCAGAGCCGCTTTTTCGTGACTTCCAATGAGGAAGTTTAGAACAGCTGATTATAGTCGCATGTCGTTGACGACTCACGACCCATGTGGTCAACGACATGCGACTATAATCAGCTGTTCTAAACTTCCTCATTGGAAGTCATGAAAAAGTGGCTCTGAAGAAGGCGATACTGCCGAAACGTCAGCTAGCGTTGTATTGTATTGTGTTTTTCAGTGGAAGTAAATGTATGCTGTTTAAAAACCTCGCGATTGCTGAACAAGAAAACGACACATTAGTATCAATAGTCTTTACCTAATGCACAGGCAAGCTCTGCTCCATATATCTGGACTGTTTGCTCGGAAAAGACGCCGAGTTCTTGCCACAAACTGAACATGTCGCCTATTCCGCCAACTGGATACTGTAAAAATAGAAGACATATTGTTGAGGAACTTATTAGAAGAAATAATGCAGCTTGCCGTAGTCGTATTCTTTGCATTAAAAATTACTATAAGCACAGAAGTTAGGCGTTCAAGGATGGAGCGGAATGGAATAGTTACATTCTTACAAGTTAAGCAGCGCGATGAAAGCTGACACTCATCAAAACTGCGGAAAAGTGGAAATGAACTCGACAACTAATTTTACAACTTCGTTCACAGGATATGATTAATGATTCACAGAATACAAATCTCCCTATGTTGTTCACTAACTAAAATATTTGATGTAAGATCACGAATTCTAACAATAACATGAGGAAATTCATAGTAGTAAGAACTGTTTTGTAACCTGGAAAATAGTATACAGCTTCGATCTTGTTTGCCATGAAGCGTAGAAACGAGCGACAAAAACGTACGGTGGCAACATTCGCTAAAATTAATGGCATAGAATAACATTGTCTAGGCTGTGCTGTGAGCTTTTCCGGTTTTGCTTAGTTTTCTCTATTGTTTCGTAATTTTAGGGTGTATTTATGGAGTGAGTGGCGCAGTGGTCGCAAGCACCCTGCAATACACACATGAAATCGATCCGCTAACCCGTAGCCCACTAAGCCTTCCATCTCTCCGAGGTGGGCAAATTGGTACCAGACTTGTTTGGGAGGATAGCAGCACTGGCTCGATACATCAGTAGGCTGCCGCGAGTCATTGTAAAGGCCAGATATGCATTCAATCACCTCCAAACGACGCTTAATGAAGTCGAGTGCATGGTGCACCCCTCAGCGATTGATCAACGCCGAGAGCTTTATGCCCTTCCTTTATCTTTTTTAATTCAATTTTCATTGCATCGATAAGTAGTTGTTTTTGAGATCGAACGATCTTCATCGAAATAACAAGAATTGTTCCTGAAGTAAAAGAACAGATCAACTTTTTTGTAAACTACGTCAACATCACAACGTATAACTTTTATTTGTTGCCCATTACTTTTTTCCTTTATTCATGTGTTGTGGTTGTATTTCACTTACCTCAACATCTTTAGAATAACTACTACACTATTCACATGGTGAGAAATTGATAGACAAACTTTGTGAAAATCCCCAAGACCGACTTTCTGTTAACCTCGACATTGATTGATTTGTGAAAATCAACACCCACGCACAAAAAGCATTCCTATTCATATTTTAGCGCAGAAGGTGGCCAACTAAGGTGAATATTGCGATTGTTCTTCACTGTTTATGTTACTCTGTCTTCATAAATATGCAGAAAATGACTTAGATTTACCATTATTCTTCCATACTCTACGGTTTTACTTGAAAACTGCCGTATTTAAAGATCTATCTAGCACAGAATAAATGACTTTCACCTTTTAGATACGGTAGCTTTAAAAAAGGATGAAGCTCTCAGCGTTGATCAATCTCTGAGGGATGCGCTATGCAATCGACTTCATTAAGCATCGTTAGAAATGATTGAATGCATATCTGGCCTTTACAATGACTGGCAGTGACTTACCGATGTGTCGAGCCAGTGTTGCTATCCTCCCAGTCAGGTTTGGTATCAATTTGCTGGCTCCGGAGGGACGGAGGAATAGGTGGACGTGGTGCGCAGCCATCGACCCTGCCTGTATTTCATAGCGCCTCCGACCACTACGCGCCCCACAGTAATTTTAATACAAAATGAAATGAAGTGGTTAAATAATGTCTACAACCGGTGGTTAGAGGCGCCCTGAAATTGGTCGTTGCAGCGTGGATCCTGCGCTTGAGGCAAATTTAGTCTCCCATTCATTCGAAATCGGTAGATTGGCACCACTCCTGTCTAGGAAAATCTTTCTCCAATCCACAAAGCATGGCGATTACTCATTTGTCCAACGAACCCCAAAGTAAGTCCGAAGGCCGTGTCAACAATTCGATTCATTCTAAGTCACAGTGGAATGTCGGCATATTCTAACTAGTCATCATTCTGGCAGAATCACCTTCATCAATATCTCGAAAGATATTCATCATTCCGTTATTCATAAATTGAACGGTCATCCATAGATTCAGTAGACCTTGCAGTACTAAGATTCAAATCTAAAATGCAGCAATGCATTCCAATAATGTTGATCAACTTCACAGATTTTATAATATTTTCCGATGCGATTAATTTGCAGCAAACAATTGAGTAACAACCTGTACAGCGACTTCCCGTCGTACTTGCTGAACAGCTTTTCTTCCAAGTATCAAAGACTTCTGTTGGATTTTCATAGCATAGATTCCTCTCGAGTTACTTTTCGCGATGGCTCGGTAGACACGACCAAATGAACCGTTGCCGATTTCGTTTGAAATCTGGGCGGAACAAAAAAAGACCGGTGAAAATGTGAAACGGAGTTGCTGGTACTTTCAGTTACTTGACTTGTAAAAAACAACACCTCATTGTGAGTAACCCATAAAAGGATGGAACCCTACTAATCAGTTTACGTTTTTTGAGGCTTTACACCTATATGGATACCTTGAAGAAGATATGAGGTTATTAGATCAGAGCTTACCACGAAATCTTGTTCTCCTATTGCGCTACGGGATGGAAATTCAGGCAAGAAGAGCGCCTCCAGCCATGGAAAGGGGAATTCTCTACGGCGAAGATTTCTGTCGGTGCTTTCTGTTCAAAAATGTGATGCATTCAAGTTTGGAAAATCGAGGAGAACAACGTTTATTAATTGTCTAGTATGCAAAGACAACTCACGGATTTTTTCCGATAAAGCCGATTCATCAACCGAATCTGATTTCGATTGAAATTCACCTAGCGATAGATTTCGCTCTCTCATAGGTTCGCCGAATCCTGTAGAAAAGAAAAATGTAGCGCAGATTTTTCCTGATAAACCCGAAAGAGAATTTAAGAGAATTCATCGAAATAACAAGAATTGTTCCTGAAGTAAAAGAACAGATCAACTTTTTTGTAAACTACGTCAACATCACAACGTATAACTTTTATTTGTTGCTCATTACTTTTTTCCTTTATTCATGTGTTGTGGTTGTATTTCACTTACCTCAACATCTTTAGAATAACTACTACACTATTCACATGGTGAGAAATTGATAGACAAACTTTGTCAAAATCCCCAAGACCGACTTTCTGTTAACCTCGACATTGATTGCCAGAAGACCACGGCATTTCTCAGCATGGCATTGTTTTCCTTCTTCCTTTTTCGTTCCACTTATGAAAGTATTCTTCGACTTAATGTTAACGTTATGGTTCCTAAAAGGATGTAGGATAAAAGTCTCGGTGTTGATCAATCGCTGAGAGATGAGCCATGAATTCGACTTCATTAAGCATCGTTTGAAGGTGATTGAATGCATACCTGGCCTTTACTATGATTCGCGGTGGCCTACCGATGTATCGAGTCAGTGCTGCTATCCTCCCAGACAAGTCTGGTACCAATTAGCCCACCCTGGAGGGACGGGGCTTGGTGAGCCATGGGCGCGGGGATCGATTCCACGCGTGTGTTGCGGGGTGCTTCCGACCACTGTGCCACATGCGTCCGTGTTACGCTTCATACCACCGAGAATTATTATGTTAAGACAGAAAAATAAATGTCGAAATGGACATAGTTACGATTACACGAAAAAGCAAATTCTCTAAAAAGTATAAAGACAGTACATATAATACGGTAAGTTACCAGCACGTCGTCCACCTGATAGGCTCACATCTGCTTTGCTATCAATTTCAAGAGATCAGAAAAAAGCTCCCGAAAGTGAGCTCATGAATAAAAAACGTTTTTGTTAATAAAAACTATTTTAAATCCTATGTAGCAACAGCCAATGTCGGAGTGTCTAGTTGAAGAAGAATCGGAAGAAAGTCTGACTGCCATTCTTGCTCATGCTTTGGAACGGCTACTAAAACCACAATGCTTTTCAGCTGTCATAGTAATAATACCGATAGACTTTAATCGAATGGACAATTCAAGGTCTAAAATTTCCTAAGAATCGATCGATTTGCACTTCGACAAACGTTCCATAAAATCGCGAATGGTTATCACAGATGTTATATCTTGCTAACATCTGTTGTGCAACAAATCGCTCTATAAATCGAGTACGTCGGGAAAGATGGGTTTTTTTGCTACAACAGGGGACACCACCAGAATCCAGAAAACCCCATTTCTTCCATACTACATTTAGTGATACGTCGTCAGCTAGTGCGACACCAAATACCCAGAATTTCATGATTGCGTAGATAACTAAGAAAAATCGCTCATAAACCGAGTTCTTACGATATTCATCACAAAGTTTTCAATTTTTAGTGGGTAAGAAGAACGGTACGAACGTAGCTGGGAGATCCGTCCAATAGGACCTATGAATTACTACATCTCCGTCAAACTAAGCAACTCTGGCTTGGAAAAATATGTGAAAGTCTCACGACCAAAAGAATCTTTGCAGCAATAACAAGTTTGAAAACTATTTCCATGAGTATAGTGCTTGTCAAATTCTCCCAGTAGATCGAAGGAAAGATATAGAGTTTGAGACGAGTTTAAACGTCAAGAAGAATCTGCAAGTACCTAGGCTGGGGAAGCCCGGACTAGCCGACAGCGCCACTCATCCGTTCCTCAAATATGTCACTGCACCATCACATGCCGTCGGACTTCTTGCTCAACTGCAGACGACAATAATTATAAACAAAGCAACGTAATATAAACAAATAAAGGCAAGAAGACTGAAGTGTTCGGTACTGCTAATACCGCAATAAATCGCTCATAGACGATGGCGAAAATCTCTAAATGAGCGCCTGCACAAAGGACAATTTATGAATATTGACTTACATATGACCTACAATATTATTTAACTTAGACTTCTAAATTATGGCTTCATAATAAATCCTAGTTTTATTATTATTGTAAACTGACTTCCAATTGACTTCGTTTCGAACAAATAATGTCCACTTTTGTCATTAATAAGCTAAACGAAGTCGCCTGGAGGCGGTTCCGACGAAGGCGAAGGTGTGGAAACGTTGGTCGACAGAGTACTATAGCACCTTCTTTTTAGCTTATCAATGATAAAAGTGGAATTTTACTATTCATACCGAGGTTAAATGAAAGTCGGTCCACAATAATATTACTTCGCTATGAGCGTGCTTGTCTAACATCGTCTATTGCAGTATGGATTGTTCGGAGAAAACAAAATATTATCAACGGACAATCACTAGCAACAACCATGCTGTATAAAAGGGCGTCGCTGAATGAGAAAACCTGATTCAAGTGATGCTACACTTCAGAGTACGCGATTCGATGTCTCCAAAAAGATCCATATCGCGAGGACGAACTGCTGTTGACAATCGACTCGGATCAATCCGACTCTGAGAAAGGCGAGGGCGACGAAACAGTGGCCTAGTAAATTCTTCTGATAACCTCGTTTCAGCTCATCAACGAGAACAGTGCACATTTAGTTTCGTTTAGCGCCAAGCAAGCGG